TGGGGGCTGACTATATTAATTGGTCCATTTTATACCCCAATCATTGGTGTTTAGATAAGTGAAAAATTTATCCAATGCTTCTCATTGATTAATCCATACAAATACATAAACCACCAACAGACAGCAAGGAATGACATTCAGTCGTGTATTTTATACAGGTTTTGTAATCGCCAATACGCCATAAACAAGTTGGCATACCCGAGCACATACTTGCTGCCTATTACACTCCCTCGAAACTGTAAATAAACACATTTTTTAAACCAAAAATAAATGCTATGGTGGTCCACTCGGTACAGAGATTAAAAGGTCTGCATGAGTTGTACCTAGTGCTGTACCCTTCTCAAAATAATATTTTATCACTTCACGGATTTTGTGATGTGATACTGACATTTACAAAGAGGCAATATCACGTCACCATAAAAAAGACTTGTGCCACTTAATATCATTTATAATACAATCTTAGAAATACGTTACTGACAAAGCAAATATAAAAAAAAAGAAAGAATATTAGCAGGCAAAACATCCACGCTTCCACCCCAATGGCTGAAAATAAAATGAGAAGAATCTCTGAGGCATCTACCACTTTCTAATTAACCTATAGGCCCTCATTTCCACTACGCGTAATGTCCATCGGCAGTTGCTAAGGCCAGTAAGGTTTTGTCATGTATAAATAGGGGCATAAATTCTTGGGATGAAAATATAATTTTGCCTCTTTATAAATCGCTGGTAAGACCACACCTTGAATTTGCTGTGCAATTTTCAGCACTTGTTCTAAAGAAAGATTTTATGGCACTACAAAAAGTGAAGAGGCAAACTACAAAAATTAATAAAAGGAATGCAGCATTTTAGTTATGAAGAAATGTTAACAAATTTTAATCTCTTTAGTTTGGAAAACTGGCTCCTCAGAGGGAGTATGATAGTATTATACAAATATATTCAGGACCAATAAAAAAACATTATATGGAAATCTATTCAAAAATGTGTCATGCATTTAAACTGGAAGAAAGGAGATTTAGTCTAAGGCAAATTAAAGTTTTTTTTCCAATAAGAACAATAACGATGTAGAATTTTCTGTCTGAAGGTGTTTTTTTTGCAGATGTTTAAACAGCAACTGGATAAATACTTCCAAAAAGATAATATTCAGGGATATCATGTTTAATTAGTGGGGTAAAAGCTTCATAATCCAAGGAGATATCTCTGACTGCCATTCTGGGATCACAAAGGAATTTTTGTGAAAAATGCTGAACTTGATGGATGGATGTTTCTTTAAAACTATGTACTTTGCAATTCAAGAATTTATTAAATGCAATTTAAAAAATAATAAAACACGTATGGAAGCTCCCCCTGCGTTAATTATGCTTGTTGGAAAAATGTTTTTAGGATTCAAATGAACATAGGTCTTTCAACTTAACTAATTGTCATGATTAGTGATGTCCCGAACGGTTCGCCGAACATATGCTGTAAACTTTGACCCTGTACCTCACAGTCAGCAGACACATTCCAGCCAATCAGCAGCAGACCCTCCCTCCCTCCCACCTCCTGGACAGCATCCATTTTACATTCATTGTGAAGCTGCATTCTTAGTAAGCTGTCCAGGAGTTGGGAGGGTCTGGGAGGGAGGGTCTGCTGCTGATTGGCCGGAATGTGTCTGCTGACTGTGAGGTACAGGGTCAAAGTTTACTGCATATGTTCGCCGTCCGTGTCGAACCGTTCGGGGCATCACTAGTCACGATACCTGGTTCTTCTAGACACCGTTTGCCCTTATATTTGAGTGCTGTTGGTCATTTCCGTGTTCCTGTGCACAATGTTATTCATTCTCAGATGTATTTTAATTCCACCTATGCCCAGTCTCCTCATGTTAATTTTAATGCGGACTGCTTGCCCTTTAAGTGCCTTATCTAAACATTGACATCTCGTCATTTATCACACTCCTGTTTTTGCCAGACACTGCACACATGATTCAGACCAGAAACAGAAATCCATTCCAGGCTATATAATAAATACATTAAATAATTTAATTAATTGAATGCTGCATGTTCATACATATAGGAAGATGCTAACTACAGTGAGGGGGGGGGGGGGGAAGTATTTGATCCCCTGCTGATTTTAAACGTTTGTCCACTGACAAAGAAATGATCAGTCTATTTTAACAGTGAGAGACAGAGTAACAAGAAAAAAATCCAGAGAAACATATGTCAAAAAGTTATAAATTGATTTGCATTTTAATGAGTAAAATAAGTATTTGATCCCCTATCAATCAGCAAGATTTCTGGCTCCCAGGTGTCTTTTATACAGGTAACGAGTTGAGATTAGGAGCACGCTCTTAACCCCTTAAGGACCAAACTTCTGGAATAAAAGGGAATCATGACATGTCACACATGTCATGTGTCCTTAAGGGGTTAAAGGTAGTGCCCCTTATCTCAGATCATTATCTGTATAAAAGACAATATCCCAGTACACACTGCACATTACTGGGGGCTCTGTAATATCCCAGTGCACACTGCACTTTACTGGGGGCTCTGTAATATCCCAGCAAACACTGCACATTACTGGGAGTTCTGTAATATTCCAGTACACGCTGCACATTACTGGGGGCGCTGTAATATTCCAGTACACGCTGCACATTACTGGAGGCTCTGTAATATCCCAGTAAACACTGCACATTACTGGGGGGCTCTGTAATATCCCAGCACACACTGCACGTTACTGAGGGCTCTGTAATATCCCATTACACGCTGCACATTACCAGGGAGCTGTGTAATATCCCAGTACACATTGCACATCACTGGTCGCTCTGTAATATTCCAGTACACGCTGCACATTACTAGGTGCTCTGTAATATCCCAGTACACGCTGCACATTGCTGGGGGCTCTGTAATATTCCAGTACACCCAGCACATTACCAGGGAGCTATGTAATATCTCAGTACACACTGCAAATTACTAGGAGCTCTGTAATCTCCTCAGTGTCAGACACGCACATTCGCTAACAGACATACACACTTTCACTGACACACACTCGTTGACTGACACACACCCTCACTAACAGACACAGACAAACAAACACACTCACTAACAGACACACACACACACTCACTAACAGACAGACACACTAACACACTCACTAACAGATATACACACTCTCACTGACACACACTCTTTGACAGACACACATACACAGTCACTAACAGAAACACACACTTTCACTAACAGACACACAAACTCACTAACAGACACACACACACACACTCTCAGTAACAGACACACACTAACACTCACTAACAGACACACTCTCACTAACAGAGACACGCTCTCACTAACAGACACACAATAACGCTCACTAACAGAGACACACACACTCACTATCAGACACACACTAACACTCACTAACAGACACACACACTCACTAACAGGCACACTAACAAATACACACACTAACACACTCACAATGTTTTTTATTATATGCTTACATTTTGGTGTTATTCTGGTGGATTCTTCCCTGTGGTCCAGTGGGGCTGGCAGGGCAATGCAGGTGGTCTGGCGGGTGGTCCAAAAGGCTGGCGCACATTTCAGGCAGGTGGCGAGGGAGCTCTGATCCTAGTGCTCAGCTCCATTGTGTGCCTCTTAGTGATGCCGGAGCCGGAGTGACGTCATATGGAGCTGAGCAGGGGAAAGCTTAGTGGAGAGTTCTCCCTCGCTGCCCCTGTGGTGGACAGCCAGCCAACTCCTGGGACCCCAAGAAAAGAGGCTGTCATGGCAGGGAGTTTGGGGGAGCAGCTTTTTTTGCCACCCCCCAGAGAGTGCCACCCAAGGCAAATGCCTTGTCAGGCCTTGCAGTAAATACACCTGTAGACTGACTTAGGTGGGTCCAAGGCCTTGAGCTATGTAAAGGGCCCAAAAATGTCTGATGGCAGGCCTAATTATATTGTGTAAATGTGTACTAGTTATTTTTCTAACTGACCATGTGATATCCATATGGCTCTCCTCCCTGCCATATCTAGCATGCCATACCAGCCTCATTACTACAAGCGCTCTGACTGGCTGCAAACTGCAAAGACATTCCCTGGTGACATCAGAGGGTTAGTCCCAGTCTGCAGCTCACCCAGCGGTCAATAAGGAGGAGAGGGTGGAGACTGCCACAAAGTTGACAGGTTAACTAGTAGTGTGGGCCCATTATAGGACTATTTGTCTGGAGGTGGCGCTTTGCCTAACCCTATGCAAATCCTGTCCTGGGATTTATTTTATATCATTTGTATGAAAGATACATGGAGATATAAAGTCAGTTTAACATGCAGGCTCCAAATATATTTGTCAACTCCCTTGAAAAAAAAGTAATTCTTAAAGATAGCATGTTTATGAAATACTCATTTTAACTGTGTTGGAATTGCACTGAAATTCCAACCCAGTTAAAAGAACCCTATAGGGCCATGAATGCAAAGAGGGCCAGGTATTCAAATATGGTCAGAACCCCGCCCCCCCCTTTTTCCAGCTCTGACTCCGCCCTTCTACTGGCCCCGCTCTCCTACCACCTCCTTGGCTGAGGTCATCAGAATTGATGATCTCTGCATATCCAATGCTTTCCAAAAAGAAAAGCATTGGGAGGCTAAGGTGCATGCACTGCAAAACACCAGTGTGACTCTATATATCTATATGGGAAAGGTTGTGCACCTCCACGCAGAGATGCTGAACATGCATCACTGACCCAGGAACTACCTCTAGTGGCCTTCTGAATGACTGCCACTGGAGGTGTTCCTAGGGAGCAATGTAAACTTTTGTCCCAAATTAGGGACTGATCTGCGGGGACTGACTTTACTCACCAGAACAACTACATTTAGCTGTAGTTGTTCAGGTGACTATGGTGCCCATTTAAGAGCTATATTGAGACAAATTAGGGACTACTTTTGTCTCAGTATTTACACCTGACACTTTTAGACACTGGGCGGAGCTACCGCCATCTAAAACTGCCAATCCGCCCATCTATTACAAGTGACGGCTGCAGGGAATTGGCTCTGTCTATGGAGGATTGTGCGGCCTTGTGGATCACTCCATAGTCCTAAATTCCGACTGTCACACATGTGCGATAGTACAGCAGTGATGTGGCTCGTGCAGCTGCTGAAGAGGATCCACCGGAAGAAAACGGCGGCGCCGGCAAGGGACATGTTTGGGTAATTCAATCTGACCTTTTCCTGCACTCCTCGACCCCTGGACCACCAGTGGCAATGTCACCGTCAGAGGTCTTTGTGAATTCTGCAAAGTCTCCAAACGGTGACAGTGCTGCTTTCAGTAACTCTCTCCATGGCAACATCAGACTTGAATACAATTAACTAATCCTCTTCTCCCAAGCTCTCACGGTTGCATCATTCTCCCAAAGAATCCTCAAGTTTTAAGTAAGATATGCAAAACATTTTCACTCCTTTTAGCTAAAATCAGAATTTAACAGCAAGTTATCACATATTGCAAACACAAAACTTTACTTGAGTAAAAAAAAAAAAAAAAAAAAATACTGTCTATGTAAGTGTGATTAGATTTTCTTTCATTTTGAACCTGACATTTATTTGTGTTTTGCATTTTATACCGCAAACTACATAGGCCTTCAAATTTAGATAATTAATTATACTATTTTTAACAAACAAAGCTTGTCTTAGCTAATCTTAAATTTATGTCTTTCTGTCATAGAAATTATTATTTTTTTTGGTATATATAATTTTATAATACATTTTTAAGAAACAGAGTTCACTTTTCATATCAGAAAGTATAAAATTAGAGTTTGTTTGTTGCTTTTTTTCCCCCAAGTTCCAAGTTTTTGTACTGCTTGCTCACGGTGAGAATGGCTGTTTCAAAAAGCAAACTCCTCACAGACCCCTGTTGTTCACAATCAGCTTGTCACTGCAAATCAGCTTACTCAACCAATTAATAAATTCCTTCATAACACATTGCAGCCATTCTACATAGGAAGCTTTTTGTTGTTTGCATTAACCTTTTAAATCCTCGCCTAGCCCCCCAAAAAACGTGTGATCTAACAAAACACAAATTTGGGATATTTTCTTTTTTTTTTTCTTTTTTTGCAACGAACAGAAGCAGTGATGTCGAACTCGAAGAAGCGTTTGTTATGGAGAAGTGGGTTATTCTTCATCTTTTGCACACTCTTTGTAAAAGCCCTTGCTGAATCCCGCCATGGTAAGACGAACCAAACTTCCATCCGAGGAAGTCTCCTGCAAACACTACACAATCTACTGCCTGGAAATGAAACGGACAGTCCTAAGAATAACTCAAGAGACGTTTTGACAATGTTGCTGGAGCAGGTGCAATGTCCTCAAAGCAATACGGACAGACTGCAAACTTGTAAACGGGTCAGTAAACATGTTATCGATGTAGATGCACTACTAACTCATGCTTTAACATTTTTGTCTTTGGTTTTCGGTTGTCTTTGTTTTTTTAAAGTCTGGAGGCATGTTGCCTGCTGCTCCGGTTCTGAAAGGGTTATTGAATTGTGTGCAGAAAAACATATTTAGCAAGCTGTACCACTTTTCGGTTTTAACTTTTTAAAAGGTTTTGGGGCATTGAAGTTTTGTTATATTCAACCTATTCTACCCATCGTTAGCCAAGTACTAATATTTATCAGTAAATATTAATCAAATGAAATATTTTCATTATTTTCATTATTCTATTGTATTTATTTTTATTGAGGAATAAAAGCTTGGATTTGTTTTTAAATATTGCCTTTTATTAGTAAGAAGGTTATTATTGACAATACATTTTTTTTTTTACATCAGTTTTTTTAATGTAGATACATGGTCTGCATGCATGATATTATTACTATGGAATTGTAAAGTCGTAATGAATCAGTTTTAATGTATATCAAGTACATTGTATATGCCTGCAATGAGACAGGTTATAATCCATAACATATAATTATAGCTTTGTATAATGGATTTTGTTAAGTCTGAAACTATTCTGCATTACTAGTAATTAGTATTCCAGCAGTGTTCACTAAGCCAGTGTAACAAATTGTGCCAGAATACGTGATTTGAATAGCTAAGCCGCAATGCTGGACTTCTAAACTCAATGTCCACATGTGATGTTTCCTCATTCTTCACAAACAATTCTAAATCACTTCCTTTACATGAAAAACTAAAATCCATATTTTGTATGGGTTCATTTTTTATTTTTTATTTTTTTTCCAATACATATTTAGTTGCTTTTAATTTATCAATATATTGTATTTTGTGAAGAAAATATGTCATTACTATTAAAGTTCAAGAAATTACAAATTTGCTTCTTTGTTTTTAGTGTTGACCATATAAAACGTTTTGTATATTTTGCTTTTTAAATTATAATTTTGCTCTATCCATAGCAAGTTTTAAGGACTGTCCAACCCTGATCCTCAATTTATTGTTGGGCTACATTTTCAACAACTCTGTCAGCCAAAGTATTCTACTGAATATGGATGTGCATGTTCATTTTGTTCATTTGTCCATACAATAGATTCTGTATAACATTCTCAGTGTAATGATTAGAAATGAGATTAGAAATGACACAATGCACACATATAATTATATATAAAGTAAGTATCACTAGTACTGACATTGAAGTCGCAAACCTTTATAATGAAGTTCACAATGATTGTTCACACAGCGTATAGCATATTTGGAACAGACATTACTGTGACACAAACCGCCAAGTTTTCCTTTTGTACCTTCTCTGTTAATTGAACTTTAATCACACACAGGAGGCTGCTGCATGCCACAGCAAGCGATTAACAGAGAAGGAAATAAGAAATTCTAAAGTAATCAAACAGTGCTATAATCAAAGTTTAAAGATTATGACTTCTTTTTCAGAAAGTGCGTAGTGAGGCTCTGCAAGTTTCAGCCACATAAGGTGTGTTTAGTTCTGCATAAAAAAACGTGGATTACCTCGTATTTGGGCAGTAAGGCTGCAGGAACATGATCTACACACCACAACTGCTTCATTAAGCTCAAGCTGTTTTGGTTCTTTGAGTGTCCCTTAATTCTATAGACTTTTGATGTAAACAGTTACATATTCAAAACATGTTGATAGTTTAGAAGTACAAGAAGAATAATACATATGTTTTTCTTTATCAGGACTCATGTGGAATGGAGCATTTTAGTCTGCTGGTTTAGTTGATCATCACCACTTGATGAGGTGATGATTTACATAACCGCACCAGAATAGGCATACCAGTTTTACAAATTAAAGTTTGGATAAATGATATATGAGATCTGTTTGGTGAGCATGTTGAAATTGGATATATCTGCACTGTACACATTTCCACCAGCATCTCTTTAATTTATTTTTCATTAAACCTACCTTTTTGTTTTTTTCAAAGGTATCAGTGGTTAGAAAGGACAAGTAGGGGTACAGTGGAAAAGGTAATAAAGTGTCAGGATGCAGAGAGATATTTTAATTAGAGTAAATAATTTGGTGAAAGGGAAAGCTGAACTCACACAGTAGTGGCGACTCTTACTGGTTGAGCAATACTTAGAAGTGTTCTCGATTTGTTGAAGTGGATAATGGAATGTTGATGAAGCCCATTGAGAATTGCTATGGTCTCATAGGGTAAAGATAAATGAGTAGATACGGAGTTTGAAAATAGACAGATGTGGTTTGTAAAATAAATATTATTCAGGCTATTCACTAAAGTTAGAATTTGGGGAATTTAAAGTCGGTTTTAAATTTTAGGTCAAAACAGTTGAACTGGGAGCATTGGCAATATTTTCCACCATGGCTATTTTGGCTTTCAATTTTAAATGCATTCTGAATTGACTTTAAATCCCAAACGATTCTCGCTGTAGTAAATGATCCTGTATATGTTTGTTTCTAAGTAGGATAGAAAAAAAGTGCGCTGTGCCTTTAAGGATAGTGATTCATATATACACCTGTGTATTCATATACATAAAGTGCAAAACAGGTCATATAAAAGTGCAAACCCAAATACACTATATGCAATATATAATGTATCTTAAATCTATCAAAAAAGGTGCCTAAGTGATACAATGTATAAAAAAGAGCACTTACATAAATAAGTGCTCTTACATATGTCCTCCCAAATATTGGATATATCAGGCCAAATTAAGAAAAGGTAAGGGAAACAGGAAAAAAAAAATTAGTGTAAATCTGTAGATCAAGCACAGAAATATAAAATAGTAAACCAATCAACTCACGAGCAGGGAGCAGTAAAATTTTGCTCTCACTTTGATAGCCCAGATATCTAAAGATGCAGGACCACCACATCACAGACAGGACAGCAGCTGGATGTAGTTCAAACCTTTATTGGTAACAGTAGAAAACTTTAAAATCTCGAGCTCATTCTCTGTAGAGCCAGTCCTCCTACTTTCCTGACACGCTGGCTAGCACTTGCGGCAATTATCTTCGATATTTCCTTTTTCTTTATATTTTTTATATACATTATATATTGCATATAGTGTATTTGGGTTTGAACTTTTATATGACCTGTTTTGCACTTTATGTATATGAATACACATACACAGGTGTATATATGAATCTCTATCCTCAAAGGCACAGCGCACTTTTTTTCTATCCTACTTTTATACAGAGTGTTTTTGGAGCTATTTTACACCTAATTTGTGCTGCCTGCCTTTTGTGGTAACAAATTTCACTTTTAAATTATTCACAGCGCCTTATTTTATTTTTTTCGTTGTATGTTTGTTTCTAGGCTAGAGGGCAAGAGGGGGCTGTGAATTGGATTTAGCAATTGACTGGAGCAATTGACTGGTTAGATGGGTGGGTGACTTGTTAAAAGACACAGTGCAGGAATTGTTAGAGAGGTAAGATAAGAATACTCTGATATACCACAACCTGCAAAATTAGATAACGGTTAATAAATTACATGAAAAGTATTGCATAGCACAGGCTGAGGATAGATGAGAATTTAGAATGTCGTGATTGACAAAGAAAGTGATGGACCAGAAGGAGAGTAGTTTATGTTGAATGGGTCAGAAGGAATGAAAATTGTAGAAGACAGTGAGAAAGGACAAAATATGTCGCTCGAAACCAAGTGAAGGTGCCTGCTGATGGCACCAAATGTTGAATTTCCCACTACCATTGTTTTTCAGGCTGAGATCTGTAAACTTTGATTGTAGCTGATCTTGAGGATTTTCCAACAGATCACATTTTTTATAAATTTTGTAGTTCAGCTTTCAATACCTTACAGTTCTGTGTCAAGTGAATTATGTATTTCCTTATAATGTTTGTTAAAAATAATTTAAAATCCAAACACACTTTGATTTATTCAGTCTAAAAGACTTATGACAATGTTTACTTTAGTGGAAAAAATAGAGAGGTCCAGGCACTCCAGATATCAGTAGAATAGGCAATTTATTAAACTCACAGTCAAGGCAACGTTTCGACCAAACTGGTCATGATCAATATAAAAATAAGGTGTGAAAAATGCTGGAAAGTACTGTTTGCATGCTCGATTGTGTTAATTTAGTATTCTTATAACACCCTTGTAAATCTTTTATTATTATTATTATTATATTTTTCAGTGTCTACAAGCTGATCCCTTGCTGCTAATAGCCGGAACAGAAACAGGCAATAAAATAGATGAAGAATCAATACAAAAAATATCAGTTATACTTCTGTATTATATAGTATACCAAAAAGACTTCTGCTCCACTATTCCTGGCCACGTTGACAAGGATTATATATTTTACCTCAACAACTTGCTTCATTTAAGGAACGAAGAAGACTGTCATGATCTGTCTTCTAATGAGATAGAGGATATCTTAGTAACAGTAAAGCACTATTTCCAAATATCTGATAAACAAAAGGTAAGACTAGTGTCTCATGAGTTCCGTGATTTTCTCAGTAATTTGAAATGTCATCACTAACTTTATGCCAAAATACCAAAACTGGAAAGATTGCTGACTTAGATAACTATTCTAATTTGTCAACTGTAGCTTAAATTTTAAATTATCTTTGAATTCAGGTAATTCATACTTTAGTCATGAAAGGGACACAATAGTCACCAGAACAACTACAGCTTATTGAATTTGTTCTGGTGAGGAGAATCATTACTTTCAGGCTTTTTGCAGTAAACACTGTCTTTTCAGAGAAAATGCAGTGTTTACATTACAGCCTAGTGATAACTACAGTGGCCACTCCTCAGATGGCTGCTAGAGGTGCATGCAGACACTGAATTGATATTGATTCAATACATCTCTATATGGATATGCTGCTTGGCCAGGACCAGTGTTTGACTTGTGCTGGCTCTGCCCCTGATCTGCCTCCTGGACAGCCTATGGGAAAGCATTGTGGTTGGCTCAGAACCACACTTCTGATGATGTCAGCAGACAGCAGGCAGATCAGAGGCAGCAGCTGCAGACTTGAATACAAGTAACATTTTACTATATTTAGGGGGGCAAGTTGGACCAGGGGGATAGATGGTGGTTTTAACACTACAGGGTCAGGAATACATGTTTGTGTTCCTGACCCTACAGTGTTCCTTTTACCTTGAAGGTGTCATGCATTATCCTATTATATAGTGTCTACATATATATTTACAAGTGCTGGTCCATTCCACTGTCTTTTCTTGCCTTGACTAATGTAATCCGCTTCTCAGTGGTCTTACGTGCTCCTAACTTGCGCCATTACAGTCCATAATGAATGCGGTGGCGAGGCTCAGCTTCCTGTCCGCCTGCACCTCCCACGCCTCACCCTTCTGTCTGTCCCTACATTGGCTTCCTGTAAGATATAGAGCTCAATTGAAAATCCTGGTTCTTGCTTTCAAATCTCTACATAATGCTGCTCCCACCTATCTATCCTCCCTTATACACAAGTATGTCCTGTCTAGGCCCTTATGATCTGCTGAAGACTTACGTCTATCTTCTGTCCGTACTCCCACCTCTGATGCTCGCCTTCAAGATTTCTCGAGGGCTGCGCCGTTCCTGTGGAACTCACTTTCCTCCTCCGTTAGATTCCCGCCCAGTCTCCACTCCTTCAAAAAATCATTTAAAACCCACTTCTTCATAAAAGCGTATCAATTAAACTGTTAATAGCTCCTGACTGATTCCTCTTCTGCAACTGTCACTAGTCTAATACTATCCTAACCTTTTGTGTCACTTTTTCCCACTCCCTCTAGCATGTAAGCTCATTGAGCAGGGCCCTAAACCTCTCTGTTCCTGTGTGTCCAACTTGTCTGGTTACAACTACATGTCTGTTCGTCCACCCATTGTAAAGCGCTGCGGAATTTGATGGCGCTATATAAATAAGAACATAAGAAGAAGAAGAAGAAAGAAATTAACCGTAAAAGGTTGTGGTTGGATTTAAACGCAAGACACCTGTTGATTCATATTCTGTAGTGGCTCCACACTGCATTTTGAAATTCAGAGGTTTAGGTCAATAACTTTAATGTGTTAATCATAATTAGTATTTTTAATTTTTCAACAAATATAAGAGGAAGTATGAGAGCAAGACTCTGTGTAGATATGCTCAATTCCTCTCTTTTGATTCTTTCTACTCCTTAAAATATATTTTTCATTATAAAATTCCCTATTTATTTGTTTCCATCTGCAAGCTTTTAGCTGAATTGGAGAATTTTTTGAAAATGGCTACAGTAGCCTAGACTTTTTTTTGGAATTCAGTTTCCTGCTATTTAGTGTTGAGTCAGCCTGCTTGACTGGCCGCTGTGCTTAGTCAATAACTCCTGGATCCCTGTGACTGTTTGGACATGGACATTTTTATGAAAATAACCCCCTTTCTGCTGTTAATCCACCAATACTAATACATTACCAAGTAAAACAATTGCCAATCAAATTTCCTGTTTAAATTTCTTTCAGTGTGTTGATTTGAATTTTCTGGAGAAAGAATTTGGGGTATTGCACGTTGTAGGAACTGATAAAACTACTCTTCCAAGGCTAGCTGAAGTGATTCTTGCATTATCGATACAGCGGGTTTGTATTCGACAGACAGAGTTGCCAGATGCTGACTTCTTTACAGATTTTATCTTCCAATCTCTGAACAGAACCAGTGAGCTGTTTGCTCCAGGTACGAATGCTGACATTTATCATTAAGAGTTTCTTGTGTACAAACATGTCCCCTCTGAGACTCGGAGCTGACAGTAGCAGCAACGACTATTCCAACCTCCCACTACAAGCAACATTTATGGACAGTTATATATTTTATACATAAATACACACACAATCTCCCTTGCTTGTATTACACATCTACTTCTTGCAAACATATACACATAGATATACACAAATAAAAGCATCCCATTTCTTAATTGTACATAGAAAATAAATTAATGTTCTCTGTTTCTCTCTCTCGGGGTTATCCACTAAAGTGAGAATGCAAAGGGAAATTCAAATTTAAAGCGGCAATGTCATGCCGTGCTTACTTTTTTCCAATCACTTCCTCTTTTTTTTTTTTTTTTTTTTAATCTATTTTTAACCAAAAACATAAGACCAAAACAGAAACTACTTTATCACAGTATGTTTCTTCTGCCTGACACTTCTAGACACTGGACGGAGCTACCACCATCAAGAAGTGTCAATTGACTCTATATATGGAGAATCCCGCAGTCCTCCATAGACCTCAATACTGTACTCTTGCCCATGTGCAAGAGTACAGTGGTGATATCGGCTCCTGAAGCAGAAACCGAAAAGAACTTGCCAGAACAGGGTGGCTCTGTTGTAATATGTTAGCTTTTTTTTGTTGTTTAATAACTTTTTATTTAGATGGGTGAGTCCATTCATTAACTTTGTAAAAAGGTTCACATATCATGTGTAGTGCGGGACTCGTAGGTCCGTGTCAATTAGAAGTGAAACTGTGGAACACGCAGGTTCCATGTACATTCAAGTAACATGCAAGACTTGCAAGTCTCAATTTGAGCTTTTTAATTATAGCTATTGTGCTGAGAGGCAACAAAAATTAAAGTTTAAAAAAAAAGATATGATTTAATGCCGCAACTGACTGCTACAAAAATTCTTTAGTTTAGGAAAAATTATATGACCAATGAAGATCACTGAATTCCCATGAAACATGAATATAAATTCATCATGTTTAGTTAGTAAACTGTTTTACACCTCCACATAATCTTCTTTCCTCAGACATAGATGAGCTTATTGGAAAACTTAAAGCAGTAATTGCATGTGACACAAAAGATCACAATCACAGAAGAAAACAGAGGAGTCTTGTAGTACCAGGAACAAATCCGGAACCCCTACCTGTCCCACGGGAAAGGGAAGAAGAACTGCAGATTAGAAATCAAGAAATTTCTAAAATAACAGAATACTCGACACAATGGAAGCAGGTAAAAGAGACTGCATACACACACACACTGATATATATAATAGTGAACATGCTAAAATCAGTTATGCTTTAACATATCCTGTATCCTGTTAATAAAATAAATATGGACCAGTAAGGGCCTGGGGATGCTCAGCCTCCTGGGCACTATACAAGTGTAAGGCCCTATTGATAAAACAAATATGGATCGTTAAAGGACCAAGGAGATGCTCAGTCTCCCCATCATGAGTAGATATTCAAATATTGCGAGCTGGTTATCAACATATCAAATGGTAATTTGATTTGTGATAAGGAGTGAGAGAATTGCATATTTGTGGTAGCAGCACAGACTTTTTCACTTCTGTACTATTATCGTTATAAGCGCCTGTATACACAATATCACTACTATTGGTTATCCACATACATTTCGGTTCTGCGCGGAGCATTTTGTTGCCTGGCCTCCGTTACCTGCCATTCAGGTCTTTGCAATTTGTATTAATTTTTGCCCTGGTGGTATACTGTTGGCAAGGGCAAAGAATATTGGAGACTCTTTCTAATCCCCTGTTACATGACCGGCCAAAGAGGGAGCAATGTTTTAAATTCATTACTGATGTATCATGGTGCTCTGCAGTCACATACTGGAATGAAGACTGATATCTAAACAGTCTGTAGTAAAGATAAAAATTACCTGCATTGGTCCAAGGGGATCTACTGACCTCAGAGCAGTGTTTGCATGCGCTCTGTGCTCTAGTCTGCTTCGTCATCATTAAGATGCCCGGCACTATGTAGCCTTTAGTGATGAGACTTGTCCACATTATACAGTGCAGCCCAAAATTTGGTGACCTGGCACCAAGAGACCATCACTGACAGGTAGGAGATAGTAGATTAATAAGGCGAGGCTAACTTGATAATGCATTTGTGATTTTACAGATTCAAAGTTAATTTTATTGTGAGTTGGGGAGAGTGGGAAGGATTTGGGCAAAACACCAGGTGGTTTTGGTACCTCACGTCACTCCTAGGTGAGGTTAAGAAATAGATGATGTGAACAGGGGAACCACACTAATACATGAGGGGCGTCTAGATCGTGAAACCAATTGCATAAGTTAGAGGTAACAACAGAAGAAAAAAGGAAAGCAGTAGAAAGGGATGTAAAACAGTTAGTGAATACAGTGAGTGCGCAGACAGCACTGGAACAGGAAGAGTAGACGATTTTGTAAAACAATGGTATATAGAAAAAGTATAGGTTAAGTCTGCAATATGGGCCAGAGCCACTATTTACAATATTTGTCTCTCATTTCAACGTCAGATAAACTGCTGGTATAAAATAATTTCATATTTTCAAGTGTTGCTGCACCTTGAGCTAAGGAAGAAATATTGTTCTCTTAAATTGTATTTACCCACAGTTCATCGAGGGAGGCACTACACATGCATACAGGTGTCTATGATTATGTTTATCTATGGGGATTTTTTCCTTAGGAATTTGAGATAAATGCCAATCACAGTGTAATTTTAATGGATCCAAATCCTCTTCAGTAGCATTTTGTTGTTTTTTTAATCATTCTAATTCTGCATTTCTAGGGTCATCCTTGTTATTCTGCACATGAACTTGTGAGGATTTTTCTAAAGAACAGCCATTCTCCTGTTTCTAGAGAACAGTTCAAGCAAATGACTCCAGCAATTATTCATCACCTTCTAAGCTGCACATGTCAATCAGAAGAATCTTCCAGCACCCAACTACCTCCTCCCACCACTCTAGAGAGTGAGTGTCATCATATATTGCTGGTAATTCAGTAACATCTACCAAGTTGAACGGGAACCAAAAAAATATATATTATATAAATTATATATATATATGTCCAACGGTATACCTAGGTTTTCTTGCACCAAGTCCAGAACTTTATGTCTGAGTCTCACATAAATGGAAGAGTTATTACAATTGGTACCCCCGTCCTGTAACTGTAGACATTTTATTTACTTTTTGCAATTCCCCTAACATCCTTTTGTTAGGGAAATTACACAAACACTCACATTTATATGCACACATATTCACACACTGAACACAGCAAAAGCTTACATTGCAACGTTAACCATCTTACATGGTGATTGGAACTGCTGTGTGGCATCTTATTCTAGGAATTCCTTCTGCTAGCTAAGAGTTGTCAGAGCAAAATCCACTTTAAATGTTAGTAAAAATGACATTGTTGTGAAAGGTTTGCCTTTGATGATCCCAAGGTCCCAGGTGGGCCAATGGGTATCTTCTCCAGAGACATTATTTGTGGACACTATAAACAACGCAAGCGAAGGGCAAAAGTGCAATCAAGGACATTGTAGAACTTCACATAAAACTATCAGTCTTTAAATATTATGTTTTTATACATAAAAAAAATCTATTAATGTCCCATTTGCTCTGTGTCCTCTCTGTGTCTTGCATGTATTTCAGAATATGGCTACAGCACAATCGCAGTGTTGCTCCTCACGGTGGGATCTATGTTCGGTGCCACACTCATTATATTTAGTTCTTGTGAAGAGAATTATAAACTTATCTTACAATTGTTTGTTGGATTGGCAGTAGGAACATTGACTGGAGATGCCCTTCTGCACCTAATTCCGCAGGTAAAGTGGATCTCTATTTCCCTCAATATTTGTTTTATGCAATCTCCAAAAACATTAAAGAAACGTATTAAAAGAAAGTGTGCATTTAGTATTCACCTATTATCACTGATCTCCCTCTGAATACAAATATTGAAAACATCAGAAAGATATCTTTGACCTCACTATATGGACATGTATTAGATATGTATTGATAACAAAAATAAACAATCATGGTCCATCAAATTGTGTAAATGTGAGTGGTCTCAAGGAGCCTACACAGTTGTACTTAATGTACAAGTTGCACTATTATTAATAAATTGCAATCAGAATAAAAATCATGTCATGTTTAGTACACAAAGCCACACTAAGCTTTTCTTAGTGTTTCAGCCCTGATTTTCACTCTACAGAGAATCATATGTATCTGCCAGGGTTCTATTCTGCCTCTCTGCATCTCTGCAGAGGGACTGTAAACAGTGCTTCATCCTCCCCTACTGCACAGCTGTCTTTGTATTTGCAGGTTTTTTGGCCACATTTTTGCAGCTGGGAAGGGGCTAAAGATAATCATTGGTTTTCATTATCAAATTGTGTGAAGAGAAACAAATATCAAAACTAAATATTTATCTTCATCTTTCTCCTTTTATAGTCTCTGTCTATTTTGTATCACATAGTTACACAGCTGAAAAGAGACATGTGTCCATCAAGTTCAGCCTTTCTTACATTTGATTTTTGCTGTTGATCCAAAAGAAGGCAAAAAACACAGTCTGAAGTGCTTCCAATTGTGCAACAAACAAAAAACAAATCCTTCTGGACCCCAGAATGGCAGTCAGCTATCTCCTTGGATCAAGAAGCTATTACCCCTCTAATTAAAAATGATATCCCTGTATACTATGTTTTTGCAAGTATTTATCCAATTGCTGTTTAAACATCTGTATAGACTCTGATAAAACCACATCTTAAGGCAGAGAATTCCACATCCTTATTGTTCTTACTGTGGAAACCCTTTCCTTTGCCTTAGACTAAATCTCCTTTCTTCCAGTCTAAATGTGTGACATTTTCTCCTTCTTCATATGTATAATCCTATTTATGAATAGATTTCCAGACAATGGTTTGTATTGGCCCTGAATATATTTGTACAATGCTATCATAAACGTCTGAGGTGCTGTTTTTCTAAACTAAAGAGATTTCAATTTGTTTAACTCTCTTCATAACTAAAATGTTCCATTTCTTTCATTAATTTTGTAGCCCGTCTCTGAACTCTTTCTAGTGCCATAATATCCTTCTTTAGAACAGATGCCAAAAATTGCACATCATATTCAAGGTGTGATCTTACCAGTGATTTATAAAGAGGCAAAACTATATTTTCATCTCAAGAATTAATGCCCCTACGTATACGTGACAGTACCTTACTGGCCTTAGCCATGTAGATTAATTAGTTTTCATAGGGAAGTGGTTAACACACATATTAGACTTAATTTTGAAGGTTAAAACCTGTAGAAGTTTATTATCTTTTACATTACGTTTTTTGTTGTACAATATTTTAGATTCTTGGAATACATGACAATATGTCTCATGAACATGACCACCAAGATGGAGGACACATTGAAGATAAGGAATATTTATGGAAGATAATGGCCATGATTGGAAGTATTCATGGATTTTTCTTCATTAACAAACTTTTCATTCTTCTTGTTTCATCTTGGAGACAGGTAAATCCCCACCACTATTGAAAAGGTAATATCTTTGTACTCTGCTCACTTCACACAAGTTTTCAGAATGAATGGGCAACCCAGGTAGGGCAAACATTGGTCTACAAGCTGGTTGTATAATTCTTTTTTTTTTTTTTCGTCAATCTTTGTTTTATTGAGGAATGGAAAAAAAGAATGTTACATGTAGGAAACATATATTCAAGTATAATGTACAAGAACTGTTTATCATTTCACTGTAGCTACTTGATACCTCTTATTTTTGTTTAAAACAGATATAAACCTGTATAAGCTTGACAGACATATCTGAGTAGGGCCTAGTTTACACTTTTAAGTGAGCAGGTCTAGTTAGATATGGAGAGATTAATTAAATAATAGTAGGTAACTACAAGTTGTATTTCAAGAGAAAGAAATAAACCACTGGTAAAATGTCAGGAAGACAACATGCTAGGTTATCAGGAGTTAGTGCAGTCATGGTTATGTACCTTATGGAGGAGACCACTGATATTTGGAGAGGTAATTTATAAGACTCTGCATATCTCAAAGGAATGTCACAGTAACACAAACATAAAATAAAGGAGCTAACAAACTCAAATAATTAAATTTCAACAGCAGCATATGAACTTTGAGCCCTCAAACCAGCTGCAGTCAGCCAATGCCTATACGTGGCAGAGCAACCGCATAAGCGGTGATACAGAGGGTCCCAGAGCGATGCAGGTGGGACAAAGCCTACAGTCGCAGGCCTGTGTAGAGGGTCTCATCTGCAGACCACTGACTTGAGTGTTCTTTGAGTTCGAGGCATTCCAATGTCGGACGCAGAGGAAGGCACAGGTGCTCTGCTGCCGCCTGCAATGGTCAGTCTTCTAGCGTGGTTGTTGATGCTGCAGAGGCAATTTCCTCATGACTCTCAGCCTAGGTAGGCCGCTTGTGTGTGTGGTTAGTGTAGTAGTAGGTGCTTTGCCCAAAAGAGGCCGTCTCAGCCCCTCGTCCTCAGTCCTCTTCACAATCTTCTCAGTATGGGTCGGTGTTGGGAACATGTGCCTCTCTAGATTTGTCCAGAAGTGTTGAAAAGTCCTGTTCAGCTTTTCGAGTGTACGCTCTATTATTTTGGAGTGGTCTCCGCCGGGCTGCAAGTAAGAATGCTCCAGCCTTGAAGGCTCATCCGGCATCTTGACAGGCCTCCGCCTGTGTTACCTGAATTGCGGCAAACTACAGGAACCAGCTGATAACCCTCACTGGTCGAAAGGGGGGTGGAAACAGGACCGGGGAGAAGTTCCTTCGGGGAGCTTCACTACAGCAGCCAGTGGGTAAACAAGGCAGTGGCCGTCCACCTCACCTCTCTGTCGAGTAGGCCGCAGGCTCCAGGAGCTCTATCTCCCAGCAGGGCTGCAAAGAGTATTAGTAAGGGTTTTGTAGGACAAAGCAGCAGGCCTTAAAACCCAAAAATAGATGAAGCCAGCTTGTCAGCATTATGGAGAGGACTTGCCCTGCTTGGAGAAACATGCTCATATTCAAAGTATTTTGAAAGTAAAAAAAATATGACTACTGGGATATTTTTGCTTTATTTGCAACCAATTATTACTTTTTTTTTTCCTTATACTGAACCGAGAATAAAATGTATTTTCATATTCAGGAGTTGACCATAGAATATGCTTTAATAAAAACCGTCCCAAAGTCATACAAGAAGGGAATGGGGCAAATCACATATTACTATAGAAAAATATAACATCACAGAGCTGAAATAATAGCACATTGTACTGCCTCTTGCATTACATCTTCAAAGAAATTCATTTGTATATAATAAGAATTACATTGTGTAAATTAAACATCTTTTTGTTAGACAAGGTGGCCTTGTAAATTGAAAAAGATTGCATTTGCTTGACAAGAGATAACGGATTACAGAACAAATTCAACGAAAGTACAGTGTGTCATTAGGCAAAGATTGTTAACCCAGGCTCATCTTTAGCAAGGGCCAAGGGGAGCTTTTGCACTGATGAAAGAATGATAAGGGTGAGACAGTAAAGGCTTTCCATGTGTTTGATCCTAGCCGTGGGTCATTTAAGGCAACAGAAGTGGCTTTAATATTGTTGCAGTCGGTATCTAGAAAAAACTATTCTTAAGGACACCCAATTCTAGCTTAGGCAAGGTAAAACCTGTTCTAGAATGTACTTGCATACACAAGGCTTAACATTGCACAGGGCAATGAAACTGTCTCTAAATATATTCTCCATTCTCCATGTATTATATTCAGTCATTTATTGCTACCTCATTGGATCTATTTCTCTTAAAGGCACACTCTAAGTATAAAAACAACTTTAGCTTAATAAATAGGGTTTAGTGTATCATGCCCTGCAAGCTCACTGCTCAATCCTCTGCCATTTAAGAGTTAAATAAATGTGTTTATGCAGGGCTAGCCACACCTCTCCTGGCTGTGACTCACACAGCCTCCCTACACACTTCCTGAAAAAGAGCTCAAACTGTTAAACTACCCTTATTACACAGTGTGTTTAATTTAGATGTTTTTATCTCCTGCTCTGTTACTTGCTCACTGGAGCCTGCAGCAGAGTCTTGTGTGTGATTAACATATAAGTAACAGATCAGGGGGAAAAAAGGTCTAAACTAAGCACACTGTTCTGTAAACATGAAGCCTTTCTTCATGGAGGTAAGTCGCAACCAGAAGAGGTGCGGCTAAAACTGCCTAAACAGAAGCAAAAGTGAATTATCTTCTAAACGGTAGCAATTGAGCAGTAAGACTGGAGTCGCATGATCTATACACCAAAACTACTTCATTTAAACTGCTTTATACATTTTTCAATTCGTTATCAGGCGTTGTAAACCCCCTTTCTATCTATTTGCCTATTTCCTAATAAACAGAGTCTAACTTATCAGCGTCAATTCATATGCAACACCATGTCGAGCTTATATCTCTATTGAACCGGTGTGTTGCTTCCTAACCATTCTCCAGACACAACAGGGAAGTGTCACTAAACTCTAATCACTGGTTGAAAATGATTAGGGTTATAGTTCACATAAGTAGGAGCCCCGGGAAATGGTAGGATTCCCCAACACAACAAAGTGTAACTAATGTTGATAAGCAGTTGCTGCATGTATTCTGGGAACGTTTTAGCGGCAAGGTTCCAACAATAGGCACAGAAGAGACTGATTTAAGAAGGCGTTATATATTTCAGAAAATAAAAAAAAATGTCACTAGCTCACATTTTGGGTTATACATATACTGCAAAACAATTACGGAAAAAATGAAAACACACTGACTATGTAATTATTGTTATTACCCAGTGACAGAATACAAATCCTATAGCACACAAAACAATATATTTAAACAAATGCAAAATATAGACATTAATAAATAGGTGATGTTTTCAGATAAAAATAATGTAAAAAAATACGTGAAATTATTTCAAATTAAATTTCAACTATATTCTGTCAAGAACAGAATAAGCACATTTTCTTCTTTATATTTTGGCTTGTTTTGTTCTTTTCTATTTACTGATGCATTCATTCCTAGCTCATTAATAATATGTTAGTTTGAATGCAATGTGGAACCTGTGAAAAGGTAGTAAAGAAAATGTGTTGAAGCCCGGCATTAAAAATACTCTTCAACAAATAATCCCTTTTGAATGCCAGCGGGTTGAAGAAGGCATTACTACTGAGTTTGGCACTTAAATGAAAGTAATTAGCAATGTGTTCACCTTTTTGAATAGATCATGGCCACGCCATTTTATGAGCACTTTATTTTTTCTGACTGTCCTTGAACTTTGGCCAGCGCACAAAATATTACCGTGCTGTTTTTTTGTGTCATGGGAGAAGCTAGCAATGTTCCATTTCCTGATTATTATTATTATTATTATTTTATTATTTATATAGCGCCATCAGATTCTGTAGCGCTGTACAATGGGTGGACTAACAGAAATGTAATTGTAACCAGACAACTGGACGTACAGGAACAGAGAGGTGGAGGGCCCTGCTCAATGAGCTTACATTCTAGAGGGAGTTGTTATAAAATGGTGGACGGTGCCCTGTTGGGGTCTGACAGAGCATCTCTATAGCTCTTTCTGCATAGCTAGAACAGGACAGGCATCACCTGCTGAGCTATTCATAATTATAAATAATATGGCCATGAGAGGAAACAACAATACTAATTTCACTCTCTTTAACATTTCAAAAACACATTCATTTAAATGTTTTCAAAAAACACAATAGGTAATTGTAACGGATCCCCTGTACTCCTGTTGAGTAAATCCGTTATGAATCTCCCGAGTCCCAAGCGCAGCAGTGATTATAGCCTAAGTTCCCCAAACAACAGCCTAGACTTGATGAAGGGTAAAACTAATCTGTTTAATCGGGGGTCAATAGCCTAGTTTTATACAATACAGGCACACAGTAAACACACCCATGACACTCCCACAACACACCCATAACCATGCCTACAACATGTCCCCAAAATGCCATAAGCAATGACTAAGCATAAAACAACAAAATATGAAAAGCACACAAAAATATATATTTCCCACATAGGAACATCCCCAGGTAGCATTGATCTGAATGCCCAACATATCTGAAAAGCGCTCTGATCCCACGAACACAGCCGAAATGCCACTGTGGCTGCACACATGATCCTGTGCCCAAAACATGCGTTTTGTCCTTTTGCCGGTCAACTTCAGGAGTTCCATGCGAATGAAATACTGAACGCACACTCTAGCTTCTTAGTAGCGTTTGTTTGTATGAACCATATGAACAAACCTACCGAATGGTGCTCACCTGACGTGTGTGGGGAAGGAGCAGGTGTTCGCCCAAGTTCAGCGGTGTTTGGGAGTTTCAGTGTCCCACGAACCAAGTCTTTTAATAGCCTTTTAACATGGCCCATAGTCAGTGGGCAGGAAGCTAGCCTCAACACTCCTCAAGGAGCCAGTGGCGAATGCTCAGGCAAAGGGGCGTTCATCACAATAATGTAATGCCAAGGGGAATGCATCCTTCTTTGACACATTCTCTACTCAAGTGATTTTTCTCATGTCCACAATGCCTTGCCCAAACCTAATGTGTGTTTTTTTATGCAACTTTTTTTATCCTTAGTTTTTGTCAAATATGTTTTAAGTTGTTTGACAGAGAACAAGACTATTCCAGTTCTTACTTGGCTGCCCGCTACCTAATGTCAAAGTAAATTCCTGTATTGGTTTGTCCAACATTGAGTGGTAAGGAGAGAGCTGGGGGCACATTAATTGAAGTAGATGGGGTGCTTTGAGGGCCCCTTTAACAAATAACTGCATTTCATATGAGTCTAAAACGTTTATAAATTTTGTTTTTGTTTTTGTAATTTCCTGGAGTTTTATATTAATATGCTAAGATAAATGAACTTTAAATTTCAGAACATGCAATAATACATTTGAGCTCATTAAAGGATTATATAAAGGAATTCAGAATCTGTCCTTTGTATCTTTTTGCAGAGCTCCTTCGTGTTGTATTCTTGTAACCCGCCTGTGTACTAGTATAATTAGCATGATGTTATATGCACTGTCTCCGTGGGAGGCCTTTTAATTTTACAAAGTAGACTTGATGTCAAATAGCAGATATCAGATTTACAAAGTGCGTTCTTCTTAACCCCTTAAGGACCAAACTTATGGAATAAAAGGGAATCATGACATGTCACACATGTCCTGTGTCCTTAAGGGGTTAATGGAACACTATATTGTTAGGAATACGAACATGTATTTCTAACACTATAGTTTTGGACTATCTATTAGGGTCCCCGGCCCCCACAGAACAGAGAATACAATTATTTAAACTTACCTTTCCCACATCACTGTGCTGGTCTCACCACGCTGGCCTCACAACAGCTGGATTGAGATCATCAATCTTGCTGATCTCAGCCATTTAATGCCTTCCCATAGGAAAGTATTGGGAGGCTATTAAGCATGTGCCGCAAATGCCACGCTTCACCAATCAGCATCTCCTTGAAACCATACATCACTATGGGGAACATTAATTGTAGGTTAGGAAGCACCTCTAGTGGCCATCTGAATTACTGCCACTAGAGGTGTTGCTAAGCTGCAGTGTAAATACTGCCATTTCTGTCAAAATTCCACCACATTAAGCTGTATGCTGTAGTCGTTCCAGTGACTATAGTGTTCCTTTAACTTCCAGCAACCTAACAAGAGTTAAAGGGACACTATAGTCACCAGAACAACTGCAGCTTAATGTAGTTGTTCTCATGTCTACAGCCTATTCCTGTAGGCTTTTTAAAGTTCTCCATAGAGATGCATTGATGTAATAAATCTATATGAGGAAATGCTGTTTGTCACAGCACAGAATTTTTCCGCGAATAGCCTCACAATGCTTTCCTAAGGGAAAGCATTAGATTGGCTGAGATTATCATATTTGATGATCTAAGTCACAGTTCTGGAGCAAGGCAGGGCCAGCCACAGCGACTCGCTTGAAAAATGGTGGGTAAAAACACTTTTTTTTTTAATGTAAAAAAGTGGCAGGTAACTAAATAATGATTTTACCAGTATAGTATCAGGAATACATGTTTGTGTTCCTGACACTACAGTGTTCCTTTAACCCCTTAAGGATGGCGTTCTATGCCGTCCGTTTTAGGGTGGCTCTAAATGCTAGAATGTCCACACCGTCCTTATTACTTTCCCGATCGCCATCGTTCCCCCGCCAACGATTAGCGTTTATCCTGGTCTGGGGGGACTGTCTGACAGCCCAGACTATCCCCCCTCAGCAACTGAGGCCCTCGCTGGCTATGTAATCGCTCTGAAAGAGCGGTCACATTGCCGCAATAGGCGTCCATAGTGCTGCCTGCAGGGGGACTGCTTAAACTGACAGGCAACAAACAATGCAAATAGTTGTGTAGGCGCTTCAGATATAATATATGTTAAAATGTAATTGGATAGTGAGTGTGATAAAATAAGTGTAATCCCTTATCACCTTAAATCAAGAAGTAAAAATTAAAAGTAGATCACACACACACACACACACACAGTGCATATAATATATCATTTTACTACCTATTGTAGATATCCACAATACTTTTCACACCGTGAAAACAAAAACAAAAATCCAAAGTTTAAAATATGTAGATTGCACTCACAAAGGTGGAGGCAAATCAGGCTCAATGCATGTAGCCCTTGAGTGCCTATACAGGCTTACGATTAGCCCCAGTCAGGAACACGAAGTCCAGAAAAATGGGTGTATGAATATCATTTTATTTAAACAAGTAATATTAAAAATACGGGACAAGGTTAAGGCAGGTATAATGCAAGAATAAAGATAAATACACCGCAAACATGGCCAAAGAAAAAGCAGCGCACATAAAGAAATAAGCATAAAAACACTGCCACACAGAGTGCCCAAATAAATCCAGTCCACAGCAAACGCGTTGCAGCCCTAGATAGGGCCTTCCTGGTCTGTTCTCAAGGTTTAAATACCTCTCTTGATGTGGATAACTTGCTCTGGCTGGAGTCAATTTCCAATTTCGTCTATATTTCACAATCTACATATTTATATATATATTATAAAATATGAATAATAAGTAAATAAAAATAAATTTAAAAATGTAAAAATAATAAAAAAATATATAGTGTTTGTGACTAAGTGGCTACTGAAACTGGCTGGACATACCCCATATTTAATACCCTGGGTTGTCTACTTTTCCAAATGGTATGCCATGATGGGTGTAATTCTCATTCCTGGGCTACCAAAGGCAACATAACCAGTCTGGTAAATTTCAATGTGTATAAACTGAAAAATGAAACATACTATATATGACCCTGTAACTTTCCAAAACATCATAAAACCTGACATTCACAGTTAAAATGCCATGCAGATCTAAAAATTATTTTTTTAAATCTTTATTTCTCACACTTTTTAAAAATTTTATTCATAATGAATTATGTTTCGTATATGAATAGTTCATGTGAAGTGAAAGCCCTGTTTCTCCTGAACAAAATGACATTTAATAAGTGTGGGTGCAATTAATCTGAAAAAAGTAAATTACGGTTGAACAGACACATAGTGCAAATTCCAGTTTTTGTTTACGTTTTGTTTTGATCACAACGTGTACAACTGGCTCAGTACTTAAGCGGTTAAAAAGCGGTTAATTAACTTACTATTTTTTTTATAATTATATATATATATATATATATATATAAATGTATGTAGAGGAACAAGCAATAGAAGTATAGCGAATTCTGTTAGCAGCGTCTACAGCTATTGCAGCTTTTACAAAATAAAAAATTTTCTTACATTTTATTCATATTGGAGAACACCTGGGCAGTGTTACATGCTTGGCATTGTTTATTTTATATAAAACAGGGAAACAGTGGTAACCTCCCTTCCCTGCTGTATGTGCACCTACTGAATCCTTGTCTAATTTTTTGTGACATGTGTATAAACACATGGGGGCATGACCTACTGTTTCTTGTGTTGATGGTACAGTGCTGTCATATCAACATTTGTCACAGAAAGCAGTAACATTTACTACTCCGGCTATAGCTCTGCATGTTTTCAGAAATGACTTAACCCCTTCCCGACCGAGGACGGTTCAGGACCGTCATCGGGATTTTCCCATTGCGGACCGATGACGGTCCTGAACCGTCCTAACGGTTTCCGTTACTTACCTGATCGCCGTCGTTCCCCCGGCGGCGATCAGCGTTGCTCCGGTTGTGGGGAGACTGCCTGCAGCCCAGACAGTCTCCCCACACTGATTTAGGACCCCTGTGGCCATGTGATCGCTTAACACAGCGATCACATGGTCACAATAGGTGTCCATGTGTCTGCCTGCAGGGGGACTGCCTGTACTGACAGGCAGTCTCCCTGCTAGTGTAAAATCAAAAAATAAATTAAAGTTAATGGTAATAAAAAAAATAATAATAATTATATATGTGTATATATGATATATAGACATATATTATATCTATATAATATATGTCTATATATCATATATATATAATGCCATACTAAGTGTATTTTTATATTAATATGTACTTATATTAGTATAAAAATACACTTATAATTAAATTACACACGTATATATATAATATATATAATAACTATATAGATTGTATATATATATTATTATAAAATATAAATAATAAGTAATTTAAATTAAATAAATTTTTTAAAAAATAATAATAAAAAAATTTAAAAAAATTATATAGCTATATGAAATTTTATTCTAACTGTATTTTAAAATTAATATATATATATTTATATCAAAATACACTTAGAATGAATTTGTATATATATCTATATATATAAAAATAAATAAAAATAATACGAAATATACATGTGTCCATATACAAAATTACATAAATAATTATATAAATATACACGTAGACTTCAAATATATAAATATGCATATATATTTAAATTCTATGTGCGTATTTATGTAATATTTTTACATAATTCAGTAATTTTATTGATTGCAATTTGAGGGACCTGCCTGCCAACCCAGGCCGAAATTCCAGAGAATTTAATTTGCTAGCACTGTATTTTACCCTGTAACGTTCTACGACACCCTAAAACCTGTACATGGGGGGTACTGTTTTACTCGGGAGACTTCGCTGAACACAAATATTAGTGATTCAAAACAGTAAAACATATCACAGCGATGATATTGTCAGTGAAAGTGACTTTTTTTGCATTTTTCACACACAAACAGCACTTTTACTGATGATATAATTGTTGTGATACGTTTTCCAGTTTTTAAACACTAATATATGTGTTCAGCGATGTCTCCCGAGTAAAACAGTACCCCCCATGTACAGGTTTTATAGCATTTTTGAAAGTTACAAGGTCAAATACATGGGTCAAATATTTTTACATTGAAAATGGCCAGGTTGGTTACGTTGCCTTTGAGAGCGTATGGTAGCCCAGGAATGAGAATTACCCCCATGATGGCATACCATTTGCAAAAGAAGACAACCCAAGGTATTGCAAATGGGGTATGTCCAGTCTTTTTTAGTAACCACTTGGTCACAAACACTGGCCAAAATTAGCGTTCAATTTAGTTTTTTTACTTTTTTCACACACAAACAAATATGAATGCTTACATTGGCCAGTGTTTTCGACTAAGTGGCTACTAAAAAAGACTGGACATACCCCATATTGAATACCCTGGGTTGTCTACTTTAAAAAAAATATGTACATGTGGGGTGTTATTCAGAGATTTATGACAGATAATAGTGTTACAATGTCACTATTGATAAATTTTAAAAATGCATGTTTTGAAACCGCAATATCCTACTTGTACCTATAGCCCTATAACATGCAAAAAAAAGCAAAAAAGCTCGTAAACACTGGGTATTTTTAAACTCAGGACAAAATTTTGAATCTATTTAGCAGTTTTTTTCATTCGCTTTTGTAGATGAGTAAAAGATTTTTCAAGTAAAAGTCAAAAAACATGTATTTTTTTCAATTTTTCATCATATTTTTTTATTTTTTTTAAATTAAAATACATGAGATTATATAAATAATGGTATGTAAAGAAAGCCCCTTTTGTCCTGAAAAAAACAATATATAATTTGTATGGGAACAGTAAATGAGAGAGCGGAAAATTACAGCCAAACACAAACACCAGAAAAGTGTAAAAATATTCCTGGTCGCAAATGTACAACATCGCAAAAACAGTCCAGTCCTTAAGGGGTTAAAATGATAAACCCCACCATTGTATTGACATAACAGTTACAGAACCCAACAGCCAGTATTATGGATAGTTTGAAATGTTCTGGAAAATATTTTATAGACAATTCCAAAAATAATACAAACCTTGAATATTTATAAACAATAATATAATGAATATATTTGCATTTTATTTTTATTTTAATTTATTTATTTTAATTTATTAGTATTTTTATTATTTATTAGTCATGCTTTTTTAGGTGACAGTTCAACTAATAAAGTCATTACAGTCATTACTATTAGACTTAACTTAGGCAGGGCCAGATGAAGAGCCCATTGGGCCTGGTGCTGACAATTATGTTGGCCTAATTACAGAATCTTATCGATAGAAAACACTAAAACAGTTATACCTCCCAAGGGTCATGTATTTGATGGAGATGGTGCTGGTCCACTCCTCTCCTAAGCTTCTTACTAGCAGGCAGAAGCTCCTGTTATACAGTCTGGGACAGAGAAAAAGTGTTTGTAGTCAGTGCAGCGGAAAGGGGACATGCCACAGTGTTAGGGAGACTGAGGCAGCAAGAGCATTTGTATAGTGTGCAAAGTCAGCTTTACCCTAACTAATTTCATAGTGAGCCAGTCCACACCAGTTTGTCCCTTTACATCCCTCTTAACTTTCCATACTTAACCAAGAGCACTTTATTATTGAGAATTCTACTTGAATATATATGTTAACTTATCTACGTGTCATTATACATAAATAAAAAAATGTAATATTGAAAAAAGAATTATTTTTTTAAAAGCCTTTCATTGTGGCTCTGCCCTGTCGACTGAGTCTTGTGAAGCCTGCCTATTACCTCTAAAGATGCATTTGGCAGCAGCTGATCCCTGCTGTTTTTACAACTGAAGGACGGAATAGGCAGTTGATGACCCACTCACCCTTTCTCCCTTGGAAGAACAAAACTTTCCTACACATCCAGTTTGTAGTGTGATTGACCTTCTTTCCATTTGGGAAAAAACACTGCACTACTATCAAGTTCGGCCAGCTGTGTCCACTTAGGATACAGGCACTGCAAGACTCGGAAAGGTAAAACCACCACAATGAAAGACATTTTAAAAAGGGGGGAGGGGGGGCAGGGGTAATTAATTAGAAAACAGGGGATTTTCTTTCAAAACGATGACCCAATCACCCGTTCCATCCTTTCATGTTTTGAAAAATCCCCCTTGTTTCCATTAAATGGCTCCTGCTGCTGCTAGGTCACAGTTTTTGTTTTTTTAACTGAAGGATGGTCACTGGCACTGCATACTGGATGTGGGGTGAAGTTTTGTTCTTGTCAAGGTGGAAGAGGTGAGTGGGTAGCTATTGCTCACCGATTATTTTCCTTCCATATTTGTATATAAAAGGACAAAATATTACAATCATTCTAAAACAAAATTCTCTCATTTACTATTTGATGCAATGATCCAACTTTGCGTACTCAGAATTGTCATTGTAAACATGGTGATATTGCGTAGCGATTAGGCCAGTCAATGTTATAGTTATTTCTGCATGCTGCATAGTCATAGTCCCCTTTTTTTCTGTTCCGGTTGTCCAAGTGACTTTCAGGAATATTTCATTACTAAAATTCGTCCGAAATTAACAACAACATGAACTAAGCTCAGTCCACTAAAAAACAAAAAACAAATCTGCTGATGCGTTTCAGAAGAACTGATGTTTTTTCACCTGCCCAAGTCTAGTGGTTTTTGGTAAAATATCTAAGACAACACTAACAAAAATATAAATATTTATTTTTGTAACATAAAACTGCATAGTGAAGAGTGAAGTGATATAAATCTTTTGAAAAAGTGAAAATAATGTACTAGATTTCGATTTCATAACAGCATTTGATACTTACTATGTGCTATTATATGTATGTACTAAAATCATTTTTATATTATTTTTCAGGGGCGTTCATTTATAAATGGGCATCTGACGCATTCCCATGACCTACCCCTGGATTCTCACTTAAATGAGCAGTCTCGAAAAGCTAAATCAACGTCAACCATTCAACTGGTAACATTTTTTGTTGAGTGCGGTTAATTTAATATTATCTTTATTTTAACAATATTTTGATTTTGAACAGACAGGATAAAATCATAATTTAATTATCTTAATATGATGCATGCTGCATTGTAAAAAAAAAATAATAATGGGGAAAAAAATTACATTTTTGTCTTTAATATATGTTATTGAGGAAAAAAGATGAAAGAAACATTGTAATAAGCAGACTAAAAGTATGCAAGCAAGAAATACTAGCACAAATTAAACCACATACTCCATTTCCTCAGGATTTGATGTTTAAGAAAGGGATGAACCATTCTCTTTAATATTTTTATTAGTGATATTGCAGAAGGTCTTGATGGTAAGGTATGTCTTTTTGCTGATGATACTAAGATATGTAACAGGGATGATGTTCCAGGAGGGAAAAGCCAAATGGCAAATGATTTAGGTAAACTAGAAAAATGGTCAGAATTGTGGCAACTGACATTTAATGTGGATAAGTGCAAGATAATGCATCTTGGATGTAAAAACCCAAGGGCAGAGTATGGAATATTTGATACACTACTAGCCTCAACATCTGATGAAAGGGATTTAGGGGTGATTATTTCTGATGACTTAAAGGTAGGCAGACAATGTAATAGAGCAGCAGGAAATGCTAGCAGAATGCTTGGTTGTATAGGGAGAGGTATGAGCAGTAGAAAGAGGGAAGTGCTCATGCCATTGTACAGAACACTGGTGAGACCTCACTTGGAGTATTGTACACAGTACTGGAGACCGTATCTTCAGAAGGATATTGATACCTTAGAGAGGGTTCAGAGAAGGGCTACTAAACTGGTTCATGGATTGCGGGATAAAACTTACCAGGAAAGGTTAAAGGATCTTAACATGTATAGCTTGGAGGAAAGACGAGACGGGGGATATGATAGAAACATTTAAATACATCAACATAATAAAGGAGAAGACTATAATTAAAAGAAGAAAAACTACCACAACAAGAGGACATAGTCTTAAATTAGAGGTTTAAAAATATCAGAAAGTATTACTTTACTGAGAGGGTAGTGGATGCATGGAATAGCCTTCCAGCTGAAGTGGTAGAGGTTAACACAGTAAAGGAGTTTAAGCATGCGTGGGATAGGCATAAGGGTATCATAACTATAAGATAAGGATAGGGATTAATGAAAGTATTTAGAAAATTGGGCAGACTAGATGGGCCAAATGGTTCTTATCTGCCGTCACATTCTATGTTTCCATGTTTCTATGATACATGTATAGTGGGATAGATAGAGTAACAGACAAAAATAGATAGAAACGGTGAGGAAAAGAAGCAAACATCAGTGCAGATACAGAAAGGGGAAAATGAAACAAATAGTGAATGAGGAACACAAAAGAGAGAAAGTGGCAATGAGAGAAGGGGGAAATACATGGGCACCAGCCCCTTGCAAACACAGCTTAGCGGAGCCTCAAAACCATGCATGTCTTGAGACACAGGAGGAGAGGAGGGTTGAAAAGAGGACAATATTCATTAGAGCTAAGAGACATTTGGGTTGTAGGAGATTACTAAGAAGTTTTTTTTTTTTTAATTCTTTATTTTTGTGTGCTTGAGTTTAACAAACATTGTCTCCAATGCCACAACAGCATTGGAAAGAAAGATTAATGAAGCTAGACATTTCACTTACATGGCATTTCAATACACAGCACAACATTTTTTTTATTTTTTTTTTGGTACAGACTATGCATTAAATGTCTGGCATATTTGAGGGAGAAATACTGGGCTATGCAAAGTCGTACACATAGTGAGAAGTAAGTCAGAGTGGGGTGTAAAGCATGCTTAAAGTCGTGTGTAGCTAGTCTCCAGGTATGCAGTGGTAGTGTAAAATGACCGTAGGTATGCCAATTAATTTGAGTGCAGCTAGGGGCTACTGGCTGAGCAGTGGTAATCAGTATTATTTGTGAGTGGGGATCAGTATTATTTGTGAGCGTCTCGCATCCCTTGGTCGATAACACCACAGAGCACAACCTGAGACTGGAGTAGCTATGATGTGAATGAGGATTACCAAAAGTGCAAACGATATGATATAGTATTTTTTCACGTTGACAGTAGTAAGTTGCGGGTCGCCTTATTTATCCCCAGCATGGTCCCTGAGTTATCTGTTTTTTAATCTGTATAGAACAAGTGCACTTTTAGTCGCGTCTCAAGATTCGGGCCTTCCTGTCTACGGTCGTCTAGGTGTGAGCCCTTGTAAGGGGGTTCATAGTCGGTTGTTGGGGGCCTGTCTGGTTGCAACTGGGCCTAAGTGATCCTTTTATTAGCTTGTTATGCTGTCATGTTTTGTTCTATTCTCATAAATGAAATTCCTACACCTATAGCAATGCTAGGAGAGATATTTATAGAGTGTCTATTAGTGAAGTTAGTGTGTGCTTTCGTGGGTAGGGTATGCTATGTCCCTAACCCTAGGGGACATCGGGGGTGGGGGGGGAGGTGAGTGTAGTCTAGTCGATGGCGAGCAGTCATGAGCTAGATCGTCTCTAGGAGGACGACTGCCTAGGTGTACAGATATCTCTGGGGTTTCAGTCAGATCAGAATATGAAAGTTTTAGTTACCGGGCAAAGACAACTTTGAAAACATATTACAAAATGTGAAACAATAAAACTATAGTGCTGCAACTTAAGAGGAGGTGGAACTTTATGTCACGTCACCCTGCCCATTCCGTGGGGTGAACGGGATAATGTTATCCAAGTCCCAAGTCCCGTTAGCGTACCTGGCTCTCTGCTTTTGTGGGGCGTCATTGATGCCCACTGCTGCTAGGAAAGTGGCGGCTTCCGTCACATCGGTTGCCTTCAGCTGTGTGCCGTTTTTGTATACCGTAAGGGACCTGGGCGTTGACCATCGGTATAATATGCCCGCTTCTTGTAGTTTTCGCGTGATGGGTTGCATCGTTTTCCGCCATGTTAGCGTGGAACGGTGGAGATCCTGGAAAAGCGAGATCTTGTGAATCTCAAAGTCCACAGGTGTCTTGTTAAATGTTGCTTTCAGTAGGGCCTGCTTGTCTTGTCTCGTACCACAGTATAGGATTATGTCTCTTGGAGCTGTGTTTGCTCGGGGCTGTGTTCAGCGCCCTGGGGGACCTGGCTATGTGGTAGGCCCCATCGTGCGTGAATTGTTTGGCCTGTTTCACCAGGAGTAGTTTGAACACCATTCTCCTTATGAGGTGTGGTATTTCTTCGGGGCTGACTGTTTCTGCAACCCCTCGTATCTTGATATTTTTCTGGCGTGCTCTTTCGTCCATGGTGTCTATTCTCAGCGAGGTTTCCGTGAGGGACCCCTGTAACTGTTTGACTGTGTCTGTTAATGCCGTTAGCTGATGTTGTAGGTCAGCCACAGTGGAGTCCGTTGCCTGGGCATGAGCAGTTACCGCTTGCACTTCTGTGCGCACCGCGGCTATATCTGTCGCAAATAGTTGTTGGATGCGTTTAAAAAGGTTGTCGATGTCCTGCTTAGTCGCAGGGCCCTGACTAGTCGGGGTTTGCGTTGTCTGGAGCCCTGTTGGTGGTGGCTCCTGTATGGTGTCACTCACCCCTCCTGTCTCTTTAAGATCCTTGGCCCCCGTTTCAGTCAGCTCCTGCTCCCTGGGCTTTGGTGTGCGTTGTAGCAGCAAGCCTATGTCCTGCATGTCTTGTGAGGCGGCCGCTTGGGATTTGTGGGATTTTTTTCCCCATTGATTCTGACCTTTGAGCCTGTGTCTGTAGGGGGTCTGGTGTGAGCCAGTCCAAGTCCCACCATGCCGCCGATGTGTGCAGTGTGATTTTCAGGCCGACCGCGTGGGAGGCCTTGGGTGGTCGGCGTTTTTGTTTGGCGCCCATTTGCTGAAGAACAGGCATCGGTGTGTGCCTCTCACTCTCCTGCAGTCGATGGTATTGTGCAGGTAAGGCGTGTGCCAGTGGTTTTGGGATAAATCCCTGGTTTTTAGTTTTTAGGTCGAGGAGCCCCAGAGATGGCGTCTGTGCTGGTCGCCGGTCAAGCTCCGCCCCCCAAGAAGTTTTTTTAAACCTCAACCCAGAATGACATACCCCACCACATATGGAGATGTGTTCCCCTTCTGCTGCAGCTCTCGGCTTCTTTTTATAAACAATTTAGAATAAAAATCACAAATGACCTAAAACATGGAATATAAAACATAACGAATCAATAATTAAATAAGATGTGAAGTGTATAGTATAATCTATTGCTGTGTGATACTTTTGTGTAATGTAGCATGAACATGCTGTTCTTTTTTCATTAAATCTGTTGTTTTTAAACATTTGTTTTTTGCAGAAGAGCATATAATTATTTGGGTAAAACAATGTTATTCTGCCTTTTTCAGAGAACTCCTGAAGACTGTGAACCTTCAGAGGGTATTATACCCGATATTCCACCAGTCAGTCTAAGAGGGAGAAAAAAGCGTAAGTACTCTCGAAATTACATTAGAGAAAGTACTCTGTAACCGCTGGTTTTTTATCTCTAAATTATTCATCTATGCAGGTAGTAAATTATTTTTTAATGTTACTGAGAAGCACTGTTTGAAGAAATATATATATATTTAAAATATTAAAAAAATATGGGTTTTTTTTGTTTTGTTTTATTTAATAGTTAAGGGGCTCATCCCATATGTCAAATTAGATGGAACAAAGCTCTCTATTGTGACTACTTATTGTTATCTCATGGTCTGCATTGTCCCCAATGCCATAACCGACAGTAAGTGGATTTCACATATGGCATGCCCTCAGTTTTTGGAACACTATGCAAAAGAGAACTTTGCTACATGTTGTACAGATCTTTAAACATGTGCAATTCTCTTGGGAGAGAGATTGAGACATCACAGAATGTACGCTCATTTAAAAAAAAATTTTTTTTAGCATTGTCTACTGCACCTTCCAGGACACACTGAATAGTTTACGATTCATCTAAAAAAAGTTACATTAAATACAGGTGAAGACCATGATGTGTTCGTAATAGCCTATTAGTGAGTAAACTGTTTTTTGTATCTTTAAGACAAAGGTATAAGTTTGCTGGCAATAATGATTCTGGTGGGAGACAGCCTTCATAACTTTGCTGATGGGATGGTGATTGGATCTGCCTACTCTTCTTCAACTGAAACTGGCGTAGCAACTACTATTGCAATTTTGTGTCATGAGATTCCCCATGAAATGGGTATGTTGTATAATCCAAGACTCGTGCAAGCATCAAGCACGAAAGAACTGATACCATTTTATCATATGATGACAACAATTGTTATCATCCATCTTTAGCTAAAAATGTCTTTTTCTGGCTTTGACTGACGGCCAACCTCAGAGATAATTTTTAGCATTTATACTTTGTCAATACTGTGTTGCAATGCCTTGTTCAGAATTTTTAAACTTTTCTAAACCACGAACAGACATTATATATATATATATATATATATATATATATATATATATATATATATATATATATATATATATTGGTATATATATATATATATATATATCACAATAGACATTCTGTTTCTCACCAATAAAATAATTATAAATTCAGTTGCATCAACACACATTTAAAATATAAATGTAATTGTAATTAAAAACTAACAAAAGCAACCTTACTCTTCCACATTAAATATGTTTAGATTATCATTATTATTTTGATGATATCTAAAAGTTAATTGGCCCACCTATCTAATAGCTGTGCGTAGACAAAAGGCATGATTTCAACCTGCTGAAATTACATCTATAATGAAGAATGAGAAAACTCTGTGGGATGCTGCATCTTGGAAATCATATGTTAAATAATATTGAAGAGTTTAATAACATAGGTGATTGTAGAGATAAGCCATTATGGCCGACAATGAGATAACGGATGAATATCTAGATCCTTATTCCATTCCACATGTTTATGGGTGATTAGGCACTTAGGACACTTAGATAGTTGGTGTTTAGTAGAGATGTGCAAAAGTTTTGTTTTTTTCCTGTTTATCATGATAATTTAGATTTTTGGTTTGGCCAAAATTTAATTGAATATCGATTCAAACCAAAATTTGTTCTTTAATTTTTTTGAGTTTTGGTAGTGTATTAATGCCTATAGGATGAATAAAGCCAAAAGGTGGAACTCACAACAATTATTCATGCACTCTGAAGAACAGCAGCCGATCAAGGAATTGACAAATTATACCGAATTAAATTTGTTTGCAGCCAATTCGTTCATTCTGCCATTAGTTATCGACCCGTATTTGTTTTCGGACTAAATTGACATAGCCAAATTTTCAGTAATTTTTCGATTTATCCAAAAACAAATGCACATGACTAGTGCAAAGTGACTGGTGACACTTGGGTGGTTAATAGAAATGTGTTAAACAGATTTATGCCATTCAGTGTGTAAATGAGTCAGTGTTGGGGTACATTTCACATATGACATAAATGGGTAGAAATTTCGTTTTATTTAACTTTTTCATCTGATCTGCCTCTTCTGTTCTCTTGTTTAGCTGCATACATGATTGGATAACCTTCTTTTTTTTTCCAGGTGATTTTGCAGTTTTATTGAATACAGGGCTGTCTGCCAAGATTGCCTTCTTAATGAACTTTATAAGTGCACTGACAGCTTTTGCGGGTCTCTATATAGGCCTGTCTGTTTCAACCAATCCAAATGTCCAAATCTGGATATTCGCTATCACTGCTGGGATGTTCTTGTACCTTTCTCTAGTTGAAATGGTAAGTGTCGATAAAAAGGTTACATATACAGGCTATAAAAAAATAATTTATTATTAATTCTTTCAGTTTCTGAGGGGGTAATGCACTGAGAACATTTACTGATTTAGTACATATAATTTATGTAAAATTCAGGGGAAAAAATTGTTCAAAGTATTGGGAGACAAACATTAAGGGGTATTCCCACAATGTATAACCTTTCAGACTACACAAGACTGAATTGACTTAAATTGGCACAGAATGGCTGCCTTTGTGAAATGGACCCCAAGACAGGGTCAACTTGTTCAATTACCAGGGCAATTTCAAGTCAACGTTTAGCATTTTACCTTCTTTTTGTAGTTCCCCCGCCATCTTTAAACTTCAATAGCTGCCTCTGGTGTCATGTACATCCCAAAAATCCAAATTGCTAAATTTACACTAAAATAGCCAAGATGTGACCATCTCCAAGCTGGAGAATCCTTACAAATTAAATCAGCCATCGCAGTTTGAAAATATAATAAGAAAACCGTTTCTGTTGCATTCAAGCCCGTTTTCATCATTACTTTAGTTTTAGCATTAAACGGAATGCATTCATAGTTATCTTTCATGTAAAATTCAGAGAATTTAGGGGATTACTAAGAAGCCCATCTATCCTCTTCCATTTTATTTAGTCACTTTACCTCAAGCATTAAAAAAAAGAGATAAAACATACCAAATGTCACCTAATTAGAAATTAGAATTAGAAATTATATCCCTGTATGTTATGTTTTTGCAAGTATTTATCCAATTGCAGTTTAAACATCTGTATAGACTCTGATAAAACCACCTCTTCAGGCAGAGAATTCCATATCCTTATTGCTCTAATTGTAAAAAAAACAAAACATTTTCTTTGCCTTAGATGAAATCTCCTTTCTTCCAGCCTAAATGTGTGACCTCGTGTCCTATGTATAGCCCTGTTTATGAATAGATATCCAGATAAAAGTTTGTACTGGCCCCGAATATATTTGTATAATGTTATCATATCCCCTCTCAGGCGCCTTTTTTCCAAACTAAACAGATTTAAATTTGTTAACCTTTCTTTTTTTCAATGTCTTAATTTTTATTGTTTTTGTGCGATGTCGCACTGACAACAAGTAAAGGGGGTACAGAAAGGAAAAAGGGGAAGGGGTAACAATGAGTTGACACAATCTTCTGTTACATTACAAAGCTTTAGCACAGTTGACATCATGCGAAGGATGATATATCTAACAACAATTACATTCCAATATGAGGTTACTGATTAGGTCTAGAATCTACCAATTTCAATGGAGGCTAACGTGAGTATCGAGGGAGAACTTGGAGGGTTCGCCTGCCTGACCTGATTAGCTCACGAAGCGGGAAGAGCACCCCTCCTCCCCTACCAGCTGAGGGCCCTCAACCTGGAACGCTGTGTGCACGTCTACTTGGGTATTGGGTGGTCTGCGAGTGCTCTCATCTAGAGTATTTGTGTCACTGAACGAGGTGTCCCTCCCTCTACTCCTCAGTCCTCTATTTACTGGAGCGTGTTGACACCAGCTTACCCATAGTTTTGTGTGTTTGTCCACCTTGGAGCGCAGCCGGAATGCGAGACGCTCATGTTCGTATGTCGTGTGGACTCTCTGTTTCACCTCTTGAATGTTGGGGGGATCTTGGTTTTTCCATCTGCTAGCTATACTAGTCTTGGCGGCTAACAGTATGTGGTAGATAACCACCTTGTGTGGCGAGACCAGTGTTCCTGCGTGAATGTGTAAAAGATAGCATTCTGGGCGGAGCGGGATGGAGTTCCCTGTAATTTCTTGTATTAAATTACTAACCTGTTGCCAAAATTGAGTAAGTATCGTGCACTCCCAAAAGACATGGAGTAAGGTGCCCACCTCGACTCCACATCTCCAACATTGTCGTGGAACAGTAGGATATATTTGGGCCAGGCGGGATGGGACTAGGTACCATCTCATCAGTAATTTACTAAAGCTCTCCCAATGTGATAGGCTGTGCGATGAGGCACGTGTGTTTTGGATTACCTGTAACCACATGGGTAGGGGGAATGTGTTGTTTAGGTCTCGTTCCCATTTTAACATATAGCCATGTTTAGTGGTCCTATCTACAATTTGTTAACCTTTCTTCGTAACTAAAATGCTCCATTCTTTTTATCAATTTTGTAGCTCGTCTCTGCACTTTTTCTAGTGCCATGATATCCTTCTTTAGAACAGGTGCCCAAAAATACACAGAAACAAACGTAATTTTAACTCCTAAATGACAGTGAATTAAAGAGTGAAACTTCAGAGGTATGATCTCTACACAAACACTGCTTAATTAAGCTAAAGTTGTTTTGGTGTCCCTTTAATAGGTGGATAACTTTGTGATTCATCAGCTGTGGTTGTAATAAGGTTGGTTTTTTTCATGGTTCGAAGACTAATCCCACCAACAAAACATTAATTTTATAAATTCACACCCAGCACAAGGCCATCACAACAAGTCAACTCAGTTGGAAGATAATTAAGATTTTCTTTTTTGAGATAGGTTTTTTTTTTTATGACAGATTAATATGGAAATACATTAAGCAATATGTGTTTTGCTAAAATGAAACCAGCACTATGAGTCATTCTTCCAATGACATTTAGACTCAGTTAGTCAAGGATCTAAGTCGTGCAGGTTTGAATCAATGACATATTATCCCATCTGGATTCATATGGCTCCTGAAGTTAAAGAAATGAAATCATTATGCAATACATCTGATCAATTTTACTTGTGAATCTCTTTTAAATGTTCAGAATGTGTCATTTTTAGAACAACCTCTTAAAGAATCTGAATATACATAAATAAAATCTGTTGCTATATGAAAATTATGGATTAAAGTGTTGTAACTCATTAGTGGCCACAATAAGATAATTTGGGGTGAATTTCTATTATGTATGGAACTTCAGATTTTTAACTCTTTTTTTTTTTTTTTTTTTTTTAATCAAGTATACCTGAAACATTTACAGAATTTCAAATACCCCCTATGATATGACCAAAACTTAGAGGGACACTATAGGCACCCAGACCACTTCAGCTCATTGAAGCTGTCTTGGTATAGTGTCCCTATTGCCCTTTATCCTAAAGTGTAAAACGTTGCAGTTTTAGAAAAACTGCAATTATTACATTGCAGCACAAAGACAGCCTTGAGTGGCTATCTACCAGACAGTCACTAGAGGCACATTCGGATCTTACCAGTCTTAACGTCACTTAACTGACGCTGGATATCCTCACGCTCTGCAGTAGGACATCCAGCATCAGTTAAATCCCCAAAGAAAAGCATTGAGGCAATGCTTTCCTATGGGGAGGGTCTAATGCACTCACCGCGCATGCGCATTAGCTCTACCCCTCGTGAGATGACATACGAGGAGGCGAAGCGCCGACTCAGCGAAGAGGGAGATCGGCACTGGCATCGGGTAAGTGATTTAAAATTGGTTTTAACCCTTTATTGGCTGGGGTCTGCGAGGGAGAGGGGAGGCAAAAGGAACTATAGTGATAGGAATACAGATTTGTATTCCTTACACTATATTATCCCTTTAAACACCATCATTTTTAGACAAGCCATAAGAATTTATTGATTGTGGAAGCTTTTACAAAATAGATCAAGTTATAGGTGATTTACAGTTTTATTCAATTGTGTAAATGCCAGAGAAATTATGGTTCCCTTGTAATCCCAGATAATTTATTAAGAATTAACTCAGCAACATTCCTGACACTGTATTATTGTTTGTACTAACAACATTGTATGTGATCAGCTTCGCTCAAATAAATGAATAAAATAATGGCTCATAATTAAGTTCTAGTGAATGCTCAGCTATAACAGCTGCTGTTATAAACAGTTTAAGCCTTTCTTGCAATCACTTAGGCTTTGCTGATAACCAGTGCAACTATGAAATATGGTAGGACTGTGGTATACTAGATCAATGAACCAGAAGCCGCAGTAAGATAAGGCTCTAGACATGAAATGAAGTGTGACTGAACTGATACCAAGATAGATTGGACAAAGATAACTGGAAACAGGACTGGCCTTGACATATGTTGTTAGAAAAATGACTAGCGTTGGTTAGATTGTGCTCAAACACAACAATATTTGCTAGAGACAAAATTGAACTTGATTGGAAAATAATATACTGACAGGTGACCGAAGATGCTTTGGTCTAATGAATATGCTTTGGTTTGGGTAGAACAATTGAAAGGGTTCACATACTAAGTTAAATGGTTTTGTATACGACATATCAGAAATACATGATTGGTAGAGGATTTTACATAGTCAATAAAATGTTGAGCATATTGGAGTTATCAACAGACTGGTGAAGACTTACCTCTCTCACGTCTTCTCAGGATAAGTCACTAGAATGCGTTGTTTAGTGCAACCTGGAAAGTTATTGACAAGGACCTGCAAACAGGACCGAATTAAACATCTCCGCTGCCTTAAGGCGTTAGTGTGTGTATGACTGGATGGATGAATGTGAGTAGTTTGGGGTATGACTGCATGGTGAATATGACTAGGTGGGTGATTGGATGGCAATACGTTCAAGGTGGTTGGCATTAGGTGACATGTTAGTGTGTGTGAATGTGACAGGGTATGTAAGGTGGGACTGGGAGGTAAGATTGGACTATCTGACTGGGTGGATAGGGGAATATGATCAGTTCAGAGTATGCTTAAGAGGCTGAATGGCAGTGTGTATGTAAGAGAATATTTGTGTGAAGTGTTAGAGAGTGCATGTGGGGTGTATTTGTGTAGAGTGCTAGTGTGTGAATATAGTGGTGTGTTTTATAGAGTGACAGTGTGTGCATGCTGGACCATTTTTATGTGATGTGTTAGTGTGCATGTGTAGGCATTTACTGTGCATGTATAGGTGTGTTAATGCACTGTGTTTCCAATTCCCATTTGGCCATTTTTATCTCTTTATTCATCTATCTCTCCCTCACATGTGTTTCTCTCCACCCATCCCCTTCTTCGCATTACCCTCCCTTTCTATAATAGTACTCTCTTCTCGTTCCCCACTTTTCCTTACTAGTTCCCCCCTCTTTCCCCATCCCTCATTTGTCCCTCTCTTCTTTCCCAATTACACACTTGTACCCATCTTCCTTCCTCCGTTTCTCACTTGTTCCCCTCTTCTTTGTTCCCATCCTTAACCTGATCCCCTCTTATCTCCTTCTTAAATCACCTGTTCTACTCTTCCACCCTGCTTTCACCTGTGCCCTGTAATCTCCCCTTTCAATCACTTGTTCTCCTCGTATGTCCCCCCTTTCCCAGTTTTTCACTACTAGTCTTACCTCCTTCCCCTGTGTCTCTCTTCTAAATTTCCCCCTTGCCCAGCTGTGTGAGGGGAGGTTCAGCAGTAACTGCAGGAGGTTCAGTGGGTCGAGGGTGGGTTATGTTGCTGATATCATCTCTGCACGCTCTTCTGCAGTTTCTTCGGCTCACTGTGGGGGAGAGAGAACCTGTAACCGAGGGTGCTGGAAAGAGGTATTTCACTATGGGAAATCTGGCCATTCCTGCAAGGCTAGGCTTAGACAGTATATGATGGGAACACCCCCCAATTAGAATGAAATGTTAGTAACAATACACATTTCAAACGCACTGTGACAATAACAAACAAATTTCAAGAGTACTGTGACATAATGACTGACATCAAGAGCCAAGTGCTACATCCTTTAAATCTACCTATGCATGTGAATCTGAAAACTCTACAAATGGACATGAGAGCCCTGAACGCTAATGAGAATAAAACCAGGTAATGGTGGTGAGCCTCTCTAGTGTCTGTGAACTGTTGTCCCCGTTGGCAAACTAATGGCAAAATACACATGCAAAAACCATAGTATATGCATCTGTAATCAGCAATCTTTTCCTGTAGTCCTGTAGATGAATGAGATGCGACTGAATATTTTAGTTGCAGAATGTATGTTTTGCAAAGCTTGGACATTTTGTATAACGCATATTAAACAAGGCGAATTAACTTACTTTAAGACATTAATATCCATCTAGGTTGTCTAGTTGCCAAGAGGGAGTCGGGACCCATTCATTTCATAACTGATAAGAAATGAACTGCATATAGAGTGAGACTCCAACATGAAATATATTTAATACTCTCTAAATGATGAAATGTATATATATTTTTTTATTTCATGTATTCATTTTCTTGAGTCATTTTCTCTTTCCTTTTTTTAGCTACCTGAAATGACTCATATTCAGACGCAAAGGCCATGGTTAATGTTTTTCCTGCAAAATCTAGGACTTCTTCTTGGATGGCTGTGCCTGTTGATGTTGGCAATTTATGAACATAAAATTAAACTATAGTTTGGCAGCAGACGCAAACTGTGAATATTTTATTCAATTAATATGTACAGTTTCATTCGTGCTCCAAACATGTCTTTTTAGCAGGATTTTAGCCTACAATTTCTTAGCATCGTTTGAACAAGTTGATAAACATCCAATTTATTTGCTACAGTTTTTTGCCATTTTTTTAAATAAATAAATATGTCACAACACAGCTGAATGAGTGTGTCATTTCTTTCTTCGTATCTGCGGGATCCAGTCTGTTTTCAACTGTATTATTATTATTATTATTATTATTATTATTATTTAACCTGTTTTAAAATCATCTCTGTTTTTTTTTTTTTTTTTTACATAAATCATTTGCTGATTAAAAAAATCAGTGTGTACTGAAGAATATTGATTGGTATTTTTTCCAGCATATTCTTCTGGTGTCTATTTTTGTAATATTTCTTCAAACTAAATGATCAGAGGTATCAATAAAATAAACATAAAAAAATTTAATGTCTAATAAGATAAGTAATAAACACTTCTGCTGTAAGTCATAGTGGCTCTGCTGATAGCCGAACTTGAGAAATTCTCAGTTAGCTTCACTTTCAGTTTGGCTACTCTGGCCTTAAATTTTAAATTCACTTTGAATTATCCCTTTAGTACGTAGCCCTGTGTGAGTGATGGGCGGTCAGGGCTGGAATTTTCCCGGTGGGCCACAGCACCTGGGGCCGGCAGGAAACCCTAATGTTTTGTTTAAATTATTTTTTCCTCGGACTGTGACAGCTTCTGTCAGTCCGAGGCAATTCAATAGGCAGGTGCTGGGGGCTGGTGCAGCTGCATTAAGGGTCATGACGGCCAGAGAGCGCACTGATTCTCCCTTCCTAATTCCCAGCACCTTCCTCAGCATGTATGCCCCAGCCCAGCATGTATGCTCCACCCCAGAATAAAAGCCCAGCCCCTGTTTGGAAGCCCCACCTCTGCACATAAGCTCCATCTCCCGCACTCAAGCAGCGGACCTTGCTGCAGGAACAGGCCTAAAAATAGCCTCCCAGAGAAAACTTCATTTCCCACAGCCTCCAGTGCAAACTAGGGTTTACATACTGTGTCTGTAGTGAGTGTGTATAGTGAGTGTGTGTGTGTCAGTGATCTTTTGTGTGACAGTGATCTTATGTGTAGTGAGCATGTGTGTTTCAATGATCTTGTGTGTGAGCTTGTGAGTGTGTGTGTCACTGAGCTTGTTTGTAGTGAGCATGTAAGTGTGTGTCACTGAGCTTGTTTGTAGTGAGCATGTGTGTGTGTGTCAGTGGACTTGTCTGTAGTATGTGTGTATGTGTGTGTCAGGGCGCTTCTGTGTGTGTCACTAAGTATGTTTGTAGTGAGCATATGTGTATCAGTTAAGGATGTGCATGGGGAAAATATTTGGTTCGGTTTGGAAATTCATATACGTAAAAAAATGTGTCTGCTTTGGTAATTTGGACCAATGGCATTCGTTTTATTTCGGCACTTCGGGACATCGAGGCTTCAACGCTTTGGGACTTCAGCGCTTCGGAACTTCGGTGCTTTGGTGCTTTGGTTCGGCACTTCCGAATTCCCGAACGTCGTCACTTTGCCACTTCAGACATTCGTAAGCATCTGAATGTCCAAATTGCCGGAATTCGCCCAAATTTACATTCGGAACAAAACGAATTGCACATGTCTAGTATCAGTGTACTTGTGCCAGTCTGTGCCTGCATTTGAGTATACTTACTGTATAATTATTTTTTTCCCTGGAAGGACCAATTTATTGAATTTAAAAATTAACATACCAATAATACATTTTATTTATATATAATTTATTATTTTTATGTTTCTTTTTTAATTCAGTGATAATGTTACTGATTTATTCAGTTATAGTAATTTCATTTAGTACTTTATTTTTAAACTAAATGAAGGAAGAGTTGTGTTTCAAATCTGTTGTATACAGCAGACACATACTCCAAGTAATCCATATATAAAGTGGAATTATGAGGCAAAAATCGGGTTTTGTGTTGAGCTAATTTGCATACACCTACCCAGAATCCCTTGCAGTAGTGAAATCACATTTGAAATGAGATTTCTGTTGGAAAAGCAAGTCTTATGGCTTGACTGGTGTGTGTATTTGTGTTTAGCAATGTATTAAAGGGGCACTGCAGGCACCCAGACCACTTCTGCCCATTGGAGTGGTCTGGGTGCCAATTCCCACTACCCTTAACCCTGCAAGTGTAATTATTGCAGTTTTTTATAAACTGCAATAATTACCTTGCAAGGTTAACTCCACCTCTAGTGGCTGTCTACTAGAGAGCCACTAGAGGGCACTTCCGTGTCCATAGCACAGGAAACCTGTGCTAGAGCGTCGCTGGACGTCCTCACGCTGTGTGAGGACCTACAGCGTCGCTCAATTCCCCATAGGGAATTTTCAATGCTTTCGTATGGAGAGCACTAATGCGCCCTCCGGCTGACATAATCACTGGGAGGAGCGGTGGCGAACCGAAACCACAGCCAAGGGACATCGACAGTGTCTCGGGTAAGTGACCTGAAGGGGTTTTGACCCCTTCAGCTACCGGGGGATGGGTGGTGGGAGGGAGAGGAGACCTGCAGTGCCAGGAAAACAGATTGTTTTCATGGCACTGGAGAGTCCCTTTAACTATCTACTTACTTCAGGTGGAAGGGGTTTTCATCCACACTTTTTCCCCCACCACAACTGTGTTGATATGTCCTTTACAAGTAATGCCAAGCCTACATTGCAAGCCAGTAACCAACATCATGCTGATGACATTGCATTAACAACAAAACAACTGTCCATGAGAGGTTCACTGGCTTTGCTCCTCTTCCTGATTTGTGTTTCAAAGCTGTTGTATACAGCAGACACATACTCCAAGGAATCCATGTATAAAGTGGAATTATGAGGCAAATATGTGTTTTTTTTGTTGAGTTAATTTGCATAAGCCTACCCTGAATCCCTTGCAGTAGTGAGAGCACTGTTAAAGTGATATTTCTGTGGGAAAATAAAATCTTATGGCTTGAATGGTGTGTGTATTTGTGTTTAGCATTGTATTATATATATATATATATATATATATATATATATACCCATTACGCGGCAAAAGGCCTTATGGGGCTGGCATACAGTTTTTCCAGGGCTGCTTTGAATTCCCAGTCTGGCTCTGTGGGGGATATGGGGACTAGATTAGCAACTCCTTTCAAATACATTTTGTTTATTCTCATCTTTCTTAAACAGTAAAACATATCAATTTAAAAGCTATAATTACTGGGGCGGTCTTACCCTCCCACCTTCTCACTAGGTTTTCTGGGGGAATATTAGCCCCTCGTGTCACCACTTCTCAAACGATGCAACTGACTGAACTTCTTACTTCCCTGTAGAGTAAAGTTTAAAGGGGCACCATAACAACATAACTGACCGCTCTGAACCAATCAGCAGAGCCACTACCTGCAGCAGTCTTAGGCTTCTGTTTTCAAGCTTTCCAGCAAGTGGGTGTTGGAGGGGCCAGAGCGAGAGGAGACTTTGGGGTTAAACCATTTGTGAACAGATTAACCTCTAAAGTAAAGCCAGCATAGAGGACCTCTTGGCCAGGGGCGGGCTGGGCCAGGGGGCAGGGAGGCAATTGCCCCCCAGGCCGCCCTAAATTATTTTAAAACTGGTCGCTGCAGGGCCGGCCCTTTAAATGCTGCAGCCGCCTGAGCGCTCTGTTAAGAGCCTCAGGCAGCTGCAGTTGCTTCTCCCCTCCCCTCCCCTTCCCTTTCCTGTAGCGTGGCCGAGCTCCTCTCCGGTCCACGGTGCCCGGCCGGAGTGATAGGAAGGTGCACACTGAGTGTGCACTTCCTGTCAGTCTGGCCGGGTACAGGAAACAGAAACTCCTGTTCCGTGCGGAGTTTCAGTTTCCTGTACCCGGCCGTACTGACAGGAAGTGCACACCGAGTTTGCACCTTCCTATCACTCCGGCCGGGCACATCGGACCGGAGAGGAGCTTGGCCATGCTACAGGGAAGGGGAGGTTAAAGGAGGGGTAAGAGGGAGGGGGGTAAGAAGATGGGGAGGGGAGTAAGAAGAGGGAAGTAAAGAAGAAGGGGAGGGGGAGCAAGAAAAGGAGAAGAAAAGGGAGGGTAAGAAGAGGGGAAGGGGGAGAAAATAAGAGGGGAGGGGAGTAAGAAGGAGAGATAAAGAAAAGAGGGGGATAAGAAAAGAAGAAGGGGAGTAAGAAGAAGAGTGGGGGAGAAGAAGTGGAGTAAGAAGAAGAGGGGTAGAAGAAGGGGGTAAGAAGAACAGGGGGTGGAGTAAGAAGAACAAGGGGGAGTAAGAAAAACAAGGGGGAAGTAAGAAGAACACAGGGAGGAGGGGGGTAACAAGAACACAGGGAGGAGGGGGGTAAGAAGAACATGGGGGTGAGGAGAACATATGGAGGGGGGAGTGAGAAGAACACAGGGAGGGTGGAGGGGGGATGAGAAGAGCACAGGGAGGGTGGGTGAGTATGAGAAGAGACCGCTAGGGGAGGGTGGGGGAGAGGAGAGACCACTAAGGGGCAGGGGAGAGCTCTAAGGGACAGAAGGGACAGCTCTATAGGACAGGGGGTAAGACAGGGAGCTCTTTCACACTACGCGCACACACACACAATGCATCCCTATACATACACAGAAACACACAATGCATCCCTACACACACAGAAACACAACATGTTTCCCTTACACACAGAGAAACACACAATGCATCCATTACACATACACACAATGCAACCCTTACACACAAAGACAATGCATCCTTTGCACACATACACAGAAACACACAATGCAAACCCTTACACACACATGCAAACACACACACTGCTTTTCTTACATACACACAGAAACACAATGCATCTCTTACACTCAATGCATACACATACAGACACACACCTTGCATCCCTTATGCATACAAACACAGATTCACACAATGCATCCCTTACGCACAACCAGAGACACATAATACATCCCTTATACACAAATACATACTGCTTCCACTACACACAAGCACACTGCATCACCTACACAAACTGGTATCCCTATACACTACATACCATAAGCACACATATTAGATCCTCTACAATAACACATAACACATCCCCTACACACTCCACTGTGAGTGAACTCATGGGTGGGTGGAACATGTAAGTGGGCCTTATGGGCATACTCACCGTCAGGCCCTGGGGCCCAG